CCTGAACACCGATGACCACGACGCGCAATGCTAACCGGTGTTAGGGATAATTGGAAGAAAGTTAGGGGCGGCTAAACCAAAACGTGGCATCAGTGCTTGAAGTCACTAACTTCTAGTCTGAGCTATGTTGGTAGATGCAGACTATCTGGTTGGGGTCCGTGTGACTATCGTAACCAATGGTTGGAGACTCTTGGTGACATGGCTCAGAATCGATCACAATGGCGTCGGTTTATACACTCCTTGTCTTCCTTTAAACTAAGAGATTAAAATCGCTTCATATCTTTCTTTCTACGAACTAATTCTTTCTTCCTTACATACAATCTTTCTTCTACATATTACCACAACTGAATTAACCACTTCTATGAATCCGGTATTCATCTTGTTGTGCTAATGCGGTATGGCAACTTGGACCGATGCATATATGTGCCTGTTCCTACGTTGCAGCTGACTGACTGCAAATGAAGTATTCATTGAATTGTTCTTATATTTTACACAAAAGGGCTTAACCGAGTTAAATGTGAGCAAACTCAATTGCACGTAAGTTGCTTATACGTCCCAGTTTGAAACACTTCACCAATCTGCACTCACCATGCCACCAAAGACCGGCCACAGGACACCCAAGTATCGTCCCAAACGCTAAACTTATGAAACTAATATGTTGACGTCTAACTGTACAATTCCAACTTCAACTAATTTGCAATATTAAACAGCGGCATTAGTGACATATTTCACTCCCGATATTTCTGAACTCTTCAAGTCTCTTTGGAAATCCAGGAACATTTTAAAGTCGGTCACTAGTGAACTGACTATTATTTGAGTAGATTTAGTGGAAGTTAGCTTTAGTTTGTACGTTGTATTCGTCATAGGCTTATCTAAGTTGAGATATCTGTTGCTCAAACTATTCAACTAATACATGCTGATGTTAGGATTTTAGTTAACAAATTTTGTAGTCTTTTATCATCATACGCATATAATACCTGTGTTTATCTACTTCATGATAATAGGCTAGATCTAAGTTTTAGGTTTGGTTTTAATCTAATCAAACTCTAAGTTTTCTAACTTGGATTTAGAAGCTTACAAGTAATAGTTACAATTTTCAAAGTACTATATGTACGAAGTGTGGAGTAAATTTCCTGTGTACTAATAGCTAACCTTCTCTTTAAAAAAATGTCCGATAATAAACATGTCAATTTCTGTTAAAATTAATCGGGCATTGTCGAACCCAATAGATTTTTAGAAGCTTATTGGAATTTTAGTTTAATGAATGAAAGTCAGCTGATATCAGAGTAGCTTTTTGTCATACAAAGTTTTCACATGTTGTTCGTAGAAAAACTCAATATCAACCATCTGTATCACTATAAATCATCTTATATTTTTGTAATGTATACATAATTTCATAATAAAAATTTAGGTTTGTTTCCTAAGGGATTCTTAATACTTTATTAGTCTCTATATCTATAATGATGGTAGACGAGTCAGGTTTTTATGAACTATCTATACTTCATGTTTGAATAATTATTAATGAATGTTTATTAATTACTTACAGTTTTGGTTTACAACAAGATTAGTGTAATTGGTTAATATACAAGTCAACAGAACAATATCAAGAGAAAAATCTCTATTACAGTCATAATATTGTTATTTGAATAGTTTGTTATTCTACAAGTCTATCATAAGACACAATGATGATGATGATAATCATAATAATTTTTAGTGAACTATTTATTTATTTCTAATGTATAAAATAGATGATGAAAAACAATTACTTCTGATAGAAAAAGAAAATTTAGTATTAGTTGATATTGGCGATAGGAGGACGAGGGGAAAATGTACTTTCTAAATTTTGAATCACATGATCTTGATATTTTTCAACTCTGAATTGAAAAGTGAATAGGGATTTTTCTATAGTTTCTATCCTTATTTCTTAATCCAATAATCTTAAGGTAGCATATTTTTAACTTCCTTCTTTATATACACATGAGAGTGATCACGTAAGAATAATGGTTCTTTCTCTCTCTCTCTGTCGATATATATGCTTTTCTATCCTTTTCTACTTAGTGTACATGCACATATACAATCTATATATGTATGTACATACTCGTGTGTACAAAGTACTTATATTGTTGAATATTTAGGAACGTGATCTGTCATACATGATCTTTCACCATTTATCATTATGAAACCATAATTCTTTGTTTTGCATTTTCTAATTCAATCAATTCTCCTAAAACTGAGCGACTTGAAAGAGATCATAGACATACCGTTACAGACAGTGTCAGCATAAAAAGTAGGTCAAGGGATTTCTGATGATGATACTCAGACCACATAATATCAGATTATGAATAAATTTATAAAGTGCTTAAGGATACCTCGCCTATTTTACACCTGAATAAATTTGATGGATTAAATTTGAGAATTTTTCTTCACAAGAAATTCAATTTACCTATGAGATTAAATAAAAAGTAATGAAAATCATGACATTGCTACCCATAGTGTTTAATAAAAAATACACGATTTCGTTTGTAGACGGATAATCGTTAGCTGATTAGAGGTCGTAAATAGAAACTGATTGTGTGAAACGACGTATACGTAAGTGAATTTTCTTTGGTCTAGCCACAGTGCAATTTACTGTTCGGAAACCATATATGAACATGTATAACTCGACGAAAGCAAGAATGACGAGGCGATATAAACACAATACAAAAAATAGATCAAACAAATATGTTCTACTACATTGATCTTCATATATTTGTCTTACATTGAGTGTTAATGAGATTTTTAGTATACATTAACTAAGTAAGAATGATTTCTGACAAATCAATGAAACTATTTGACTAACATTTTGAGATTAAATGTTACAGATAAAAAGCAATTTTTACCAAGTCAAATTTTGTTTTCTTAACTGGTTGTAACAACTGCCTCACTTACCATTAAGAAAAGTTAGTACTACTAACTCGAATTTGATATTACTACAGAAAACTGAAAACCCTAACTTAGAAGTAAAAATGTGTTTTATTTTCTGCTACTTATGAGTAGCCATAAGTATACACGGAAACATTTCAGACGAGTGTTCCCGTTTTTGCAAGTTGATTGAGGACAGAGTGCCGAATTCCCGAACGTTGATTATGCTAATGCCAAGTACAAAGTTTGATTTCCAAGGTTCCTAAAAGTAATTTTACTATGATAACATTTCGCAAAATGTATAACGCCCAAGTATCTTATAGTTCGTGGTTAATTAAGTTAATCAAATGACGGCAAACTGAGGGATAGTATATGCTTTTGATTTACATACTCTATAAAAGTATACGCTGGTATGACCGAGGTTTTGGAAAATTCACTATTACGCTTTAAATGCTATTACACGGTCACATGTTTATAGCCTCATTTAGAGAAGTCCTACTTATTGCCTTCACGCAGCGTCCGAGGCTGAATAGAAAACGCAGGTCTATATAGGGAAGTTTGGAAGCCAATGATCCCCAAGAAAATCCGCTGCATAACTCCGGGTTTCCATATGACACTCCAGCCCACTCACAAACATGACAACTGATAATTGCGAAAATGATAAACCTGGTCAGATCATTTAATAACTCAGACCACGTTGACAGTCTATTCGACTTAAATTGATTTATTTCACATTGTTTCACCTTTCTATTCAGTTTTGTTTGCACTCTGTTTACTTTTATTAAACATCTATGGTCGAAGTTTAGTTCTGCCTAAATGACCTTAAGTCCCTGATGTCGATTTTGTGAATGATGTTATCGAATACAAAACCAAATACAACTTTCCGGAAATCAAGTGTGCTAGTTGAATCGGGCTCTTCTAACGTTCGTACACTAATGCAGATTGGGCAGTGGATAAATTCAGCTATATCTATGGAAATTCCTAATGTCGATATCTGCTGCATTTCTGAAACTTGAATTCAAGACTTGTAAATTACAACAAACACGTTTTCCATCTAACGACTCGAAAGTTTGTTTCATGTGTGTTTATCCAGGGAGCTAGTGACATTGGTGTCTGGTTTGCCTGTTGTCACAGTGAATGCCAGAACGGAGACTGAACTAATCGTTTGGATTTCCACTAACAACCGACTATGTACTATTAAATTAAAAGGCTCTATCAAAGTGAGAAGAAACTGGTGTGGGAAACAATTCCTTTTCATAATCCCAGCCTACTCCCCGACGGGTTGGAGCACGGGAGAAATGAAGGATGAGTTCCAACACGGACCAACCGATTTTCTCAAGAAAGAGAATTCAACAGATATTGTAGAGCTAGTTGATGTCAGTGCACAGGTCAGGGGTCTAGGCACAGAGGAAAGTCACCTAGATGATTAATAGGAATACGATAACTGCAGATGAGAAGACAGTGAGTTTTTTTTTATCTTTGCGTAGACCACAACCTGTTTATGGACATCACCAACCTTCGCTACAGCCGTTTTCCATATGCTATTCTACCGTTCTCGCTTTGCAACTAGAACCTGAAGTTAAATAACCTAAATTGTAATCACCTATCGATCTATCGCTTCTTTATGGAGCACTTATCTGTTTTCTAACCAAATTATGACTTACCCCAAGCTTATCTTAGAGTTTCATAAAATGTCTCGTCCTACATAGACTGATATAAGCGAATTGGTTCCATCTTTTGCTACAACCAACTATCAAACTGAGTTAGGTCTGAAGCTAAATAAAAGAGCACCAAAATGTGTGAATGATTACTGGATGTGTTTGCATGACGGTGTAAAAATGGCGGGTCACATAGGAAACCGTTTCATGAGGGATCCCATTTATAAGTATTGAGTTTAGGTGAACTCCTTACAACTCCAGAGAAAAGCGAGTTTGATATTACACATACATCCTTACACCAGAAAACTCCACAAAGTTAGGATAACAACTGAGAAACTTTGTAGTCAGAGTTTTCGAACAAGCTTCAAGCAGCAACTAAATTTGATAACTGCTAGGAGTTTTCGACATTTATCCGAGCCACTATCAGCAAGAAGTCTGGTGTCAATCAAATAATTTCTGAAGTTGATCGAATGCCAATTAATAACATACAAAGGTTTTGACGACATACACCGAGGTCTTTTTAAGGATAAAGGTAAATGTAATAAGAATTTCATGTATAATTTATACCTACTGCTCAAACTTTTCAATTCTGAGCAATGGAAAGTAAAGATTCTGGACACAAAATGCCTTGATTGGGAGGATAATATGTAAAATGTGATTCGAGTAGTAACATACATGACAATATAATAACACAATGTACAATTTAAATATACATTAAAGAAACAGTCATTAAAGAATCATAAAAACGAACTAAGAGTTTATAAAGTCATCATAAGTAAGCTTGCCAACCAAAATACATTCGTGATAAATTTGAATAATCTGTAGCTGCGCGTACAAGCAAACCAATATGTCCAGCAACATCGAGTTGATCAAGACCGCCACTACAGTTGCTGGAAGTTTCATTTGAATTGACAACTAAATTCCCACTGACAAGACCTTGAAGTTTACCTTTTACACCAAGTAGAACACGTTCAGCAAGCTGATTGACTGGTTCTAAAAAGAACGATAACAGATTGAAACATAACAAGCAAAATATTGGACAAGTTTATAGCACTTTACAATTTTGATTATTACATGAAGTTAACTCATTTACTAAATACATATTCGTATGTTGAGCTTTTAGTCACACTGTGTGAAAGACTCATGATGCTATCCAGTTGATAAAACTGAAATGGAATAGAGGATAGATTTATCGGTTAAATGTCGAATGCTTTCACTACACTCTTATAATGAGCAGTACACTTTATAGGTTTTTTTTTCATATGAAATCAAATTGTTTGTCATTTTCTATAGGTTAATGACGACGTGGATGAATTTGATTCCCAAAATATTATGAAGTTTATACTGACTACCACCGAAACCTCAAGTGACTAAATAATGTAATTCATATGATGACTTATAAGAGATGTATCTGTTTATATTTACTTAATCAAGCATGATGAAAGGAAATTTATTATGAGGTTCAATTAGTTAGTTTTGAAAGATTAAAACGTGTAAATATGTTAATGAAGGTTAGATAACCAAGGAACACTAAGATAAGTAGAAACGATTTGTAAATTATAAATATATAATTCTTGTTAGACAAATTAAAGTAATACCAGGATCAGTAAACTGAATTATTTCTAAAAAAGTGATCATTACAGTTTTTCACATAATACATTACGTTAAAATTTAACTTGTCTACACTGGATCTAAGTCTTGCCCCCAAACGCCCTGGTACGGCCGAGAGTGGGGAGAGTCCTCTCTCCCCCTCGAAATGCTCTCACATTGCCACGCGTATATAGCCTCTGCCACGGAAGTCCTACTCACTGCCTTCTCGCACCACGGGTGTTGTTTACGAAAATGGGAAGACGAAAAGCGAATGTCTGGCGCTGTAACCGGATCCCAATTCAATGGTGCACATGGGCTCCACTATCCTGAAGGAACATATGGCGTATAAACCTATGGTTGGTCACCGGCTACCATGGGACTGCATCTCCTCACGATGCTCCATTGCCTTGTGGGTTAGACGTTCAGGTCGAAGGCTCGGGGTGTGGCCCCCTAAGAAAACCACCAGCTTCGGTTAGGGCACCCGAAAAATTAAATATAAGAAACGTTCGGCCATCAAAGACTGTTCACTGAGAAATACACTCACAAGATTTTCATGAAAATGAACATAACTGAAGTTATTGTGTAACATCAGTTTGTTCAACAGTAGAAAATAATAAAGTATCTTAGTCAAACAAAAGATAAACAACGTTTCGACCACTAAATAATACTCATGTTCTGAAAATCATCACTCAAAGTGACAGTTTGATGTGTTGATAACTTAATGTAAAGGTCGCTTAAAACATGAATGAACAAATTTCTATTCAAAAGTATCTCACCAGACACAGACTGAAGCTGGTAAGAAAAACCGTGAGCTACTGTTAATTACAGACATAGACTATAAAATTATTGGTTAATTGTAACCATAGTAAAAGTAAACGATGTATCAGAGTAGATTTATGAATAATCGACACTGTAAATGTAATGCGATATGTTAAGTCTAGTGCTCTCAATGTAAAACGTTAAACTTTATTCTTTAAATACAAACATAGGAGAAAACGATGAGAGTTAAAAGGATGCTATATAACTAATTATCATAACCTCTAAACATAGTACACATTTCTTAACAAACTGATCCTTGAACATAAATAATTTTGCATGAAATATTTGCACTTGTATTTTTGTCTACTCATTAGTAGTGTGTAGTGTTACGCCTAATATTTACCTAGAGCCCGTGTAAAAACTATCATACTTTAATTCAGATAGTGCCATTTGATATTAAGATGATTCAATAATTTGAATCTGTTCCTTATCGGCGTATGTGTAAATATATATAACTTAGAGTAAAGCTGGAATGGAAACGAATAACAAGTCTTTATATCATACATTTTTATGCAACTGATTGGTCTTATAATCTGAAAACTGAATTATGATAAGAAAAGTAGCACGCTTTTAAACATACATTTAAACAACTGACCTTCAGAGATGATCATGTAGTTATACCAAATAAGAAGTGGGCAAACTATTTTAGTAAAGAATTACGTGAATATATACAATAGGCTGGGCGGGTAGTATAAAATGTGCCTAGATATCTCAAATGAAGATACTCAACTGAGTCATACATTACTGGAACCAAAGATCATCACAGCTAAAACTATCACTTTATTAACCAGACAATTGCGGCAGTGAAATGTATTTCACTATTTCGTTGTAATTAGAAGTCATTTTACTTGTTATTGTCCGAAATACTGACTGTAGATTAGGATCTGAATGTGAAATTATCAAAGTTCATATATGAAAAACCTTGTCCCTATATGTAAGCTAGCTCAAAAATGTACATTTTCCAGATTGCGAATGGTATAATGTGTAAATGATGAGTAGAGTACAGTCGATCCCGCCATTGTCAACTTGCAGGTTTATTAGTTTCATTTGAAAATCATGATCAACTATCTCAATGTCCAAAGAAAATTGGGAAATCAGTAAACTGGAGGTTATAATGCATCAATATTCTCATAATAGGAAAATTTATTTATAAACGTTTGGATCTCCGTACTATATTCCTGAGATTTCAGTAAGACAGATTGTGTCCCTAATGTCGAGAAATGAGTGTAATTAAGTTCCTCAAGTTGCCTAGATAGTAGATTGAGTTTGAATTTTATATTCACTTTTATAAACTACCAATACTTACTTACGCCTGTTACTCCTCGTGAAGGAGAATAGGCAGCTCACCAGCATTCTCCATCCAACACTGTCCTGGGAAATCCTTTCAAGCTCTTTCCAGTTCTTATTCATCCTTTTCATATCTGCTTCTATTTCCCGAAGTAATGTGTTCTTTGGCCTTCCTCTTTTCCGCTTCCCTTCAGGATTCCAAGTTAGCGCTTGTCTCGTAATGCAGTTCGATGATTTCCTCAATGTATGTCCTATCCATTTCCATCGTCTTTTCCTAATTTCCTCTTCAGCTGGAAGCTGGTTGGTTCTCTCCCACAAAAGGCTGTTGCTGATGGTATCCGGCCAATGGATGTTGAGTATCATGCGTAGACAGCTATTGATAAATACCTGTACCTTCTTGATGATGGTTGTTGTAGTTCTCCAAGTTTCAGCTCCGTACAGTAGAACTGCCTTGACGTTCGTATTGAAGATTCTGACTTTGATATTGGTTGAAAGTTGTTTTGAGTTCCATATGTTCTTCAGTTGAAGGAATGCCGCTCTAGCTTTGCCAATCCTCACCTTGACGTCTGCATCTGAACCTCCTTGTTTATCGACGACGCTTCCCAGGTATGTGAAGGATTCCACGTCTTCCAGAGTTTCGCCATCAAGAGTGATTGGATTGCTGTTCTCCGTGTTGTGTTTGAGGACCTTGGTTTTCCCTTTGTGTATTTTTAGGCCTACTGATGCAGAGACTGCTGATATGTTGGCTGTCTTTGTCTGCATTTGTTCGTGTGTATGCGATAGGAGGGCTAGGTCATCTGCGAAGTCCAAGTCGTCTAATTGGTTCTGAGCTGTCCATCGTATGCCGTAGTTTCCCTCAGATGTCGAGGTCTTCATAATCCAGTCGACCACCAGAAGAAACAGGAAGGGAGAGAGTAGACAGCCTTGTCTTACTCCGGTCCTTACTTGGAATGCGTCTGTCAGCTGTCCTCCATGCACTACTTTGAACTGTAGTCCGTCGTATGAGTTCCGGATAATGTTGACAATCTTCTCAGGAACTCCGTAGTGTCGAGGAAGCTTCCATAACGTCCTCCTATCTACACTGTCAAATGCCTTCTCATAATCAATGAAGTTGATGTAGAGTGACTTCAACGCTTCAGCTGGTATATTGTCAGGTCCTGCTGCTTTCCCGCTCTTGATTTGTCTGATGGCCGTTCTGATTTCTTCGGTCGTTGGTGGATTGACATCTATAGGAAGATCTGTGTGTGCTGCTTCGATGTCCGGTGGATTCATTGGAGCCGGTCTGTTCAGGAGTTCCTCGAAGTACTCTGAAACTACCAATACATGTTTAAAAAACGATAAGGAATTGATTCTGTTTCTCACGTGTGCAATGGGTTAGGATTTTTTGAAGTTGAATACAAACCAAATTAGGGGTATGTAGGTCAGAACTACATGAGGCTTGACCTACTTCTTAATTGTATCATTATTTGGCGTCCGCTGATAATTTTGTATACGAGTTTAACTTAAGCGTTCGTAGGCATTTATTATTTTTATTTAGTTCACAATGTTTGGAATTTGACTTGCACTTTACTTTAACATCACTGTAATTCAATAGAAGGCCCAAACTTTCACTACTTGTGTTTTTCATCAGGAATGTTGAGTTACGCTACACTGACATATTGATAACAGACAGTTGAGGATAGCTTCAGAGGTTTGAAACGAAAATTTTAGTGAAAATTATATTCCAGTCATTAAGTGAACGGAAAAGTGGTCAAAACTCCTGGATACAACTCACTCATAAAACAATGAACACGTTGTGGTTAATTTAAGCTTTAAAAGAAGTTCCTATTTAAATAAAAATACTGTTCACTATGAAAGAAATACCACTTTTTATTGTAACTGGAATTATGCTTGTCCATGATGAAGGAAAGATGTTTATATACAACTTGTCTAATAGACCACCAGATATTTCGAAGGTGTACAAAAAAGCTATTCTGTTTACAGTTGAACAGTATGATTAGGATGTCAAAGAAAATTAATAAACATTAATTTCTTATCACCACTTTATCTCTTTTTAAAAAAAAACCGAATATAGCATTAAAATTTATATTGATGAAGGTATGTGAATACACAACAGTTTCACAGATTCAAAATAGGAAGTTGAAATCTTTTCTAACACAAAGCTATTTAATCAATGGGTTTTTATAGCATGATGTAACGGATGAATTTCTAAGGTATTAGAGATAATAATGACTAACCTATAAATTGTGTTTAAAGATATCTTAATTTAGTTAACCAATCAGTCATAATAACTTATGAATGAAGTCCTCAAATGCCCTGATACGGCCAAGAGTAGGGAGAGTCGACTCTCCCTATTGAAACGCTCTCACATAGCCACGTGCATACAAACATTACCAGAGAAGTCCTACTCATGGCGCTTTAACCGGGATAGTGAACACGGAGAATTCACCTAGTGGAGTTGGGAAACTCTGATCGTAAACCAATGGTGTCATAGCAACTCACGTGCGATTGAGTTTGTTCACATTTAATTCGGTTGAGTCATTTTATTAAATTACTAACGAACTGAGTCATCCGTAAAACTTATCTATATCATTGTATCTTTATTATTGTTGCGAATGTATGAACATGTATGCTTGAGCATCGCTTACTGCCTACGCATTTATTCACGCTACTAGCCTTACTATTAACCGCTTAATTGATTCGATGATTCATTCATTTCACTATGTATATATATGTCCATGTTATTCGTATTCATTGCTCTTGCTTTCTCTCGCTTACTCGTACCTGTATTCGCTCACTCACTCAATCGCTTTCCTGTTTGCTTTTCGGCACAACTCTTTCATGCTAGCCTAACACACCTGTAATTTTGGATATCTGTGTGTGGTCCCATAATAAACGTAATCAACACTTCGTATTCGCCTCCTGATTAATATACCGTTGGAGCGTTATCTAGTGACGGTTACCAAGACGAACTGTATACGAAGTTTAAGGAATATATCGAATACCGACCACCACAGTGTACATGGGCTCTAGTATCCCGAAGGAATAAATGTCATATGAACCAATCGTCAGTCACCTGCTACCACGGGACTGCCTCTCCTGACGTTGCTCCACTGCCTTGTGGGTTAGACCTTTAGGTCAAAGATTCCGATTGCAGACCCCTAAGAAAACCACCTGCTTCGGTTTAGGCACACAGAAAGTATACCAGCCCTCACACAAATCGAATGATTTATGTGGTGCATATCTATTTGGTGCCTCCTTGCACGAATGTTTTGTGTTTAAATAAGTACATGAATAAATAAAAATGAATGAAGCGAATTGACAACCTAAATAATAATTGAATACTGATACCGATATTCTGAACACCAGTGATCTGAAGATAATCCAAAAGATACAGAATTTCAAACCACAATAACAAAAATAAATGAATAAAACATATAACAAATGAAAACAAAACAATATTCAATGTTGTTCTGTGTATATAATTACCTTTTTCACCAATCATATTAGTATTATATAACTGTTGATTACTAGGAAACATGAGACTATTTTCGTTTGATTGTAATGTATTCATTTTGAAATTTTCTTTATTCATACATTTATTAGTATTTTTATATTGATCATTAAAAAAGTAACTTGATGATTTAGACTTGTCTAATGTTGTATTAATTTCAGCTCGTTTAGCTTCAAGCGCACATAGTTGAGCTGGTGATAAGGACCAAGAATATAATGGGTCAAAAAGAAGAACCTGAATACCAAAAAGTAAAAAAGAATCGACACTAATTCGTGAAATCCATATAGAGATAATACTTCTTTTTAAAAAAATATATAAAATCACTAAACTGTTACCCAGAAAACGAGCATATAACCAAAACCAATACAATAATGATATTTATGCTTGTCACAAAATAATGAGTTGAATTCTAATTGCTATTCACTAAAATTATTACGATTAGTGCTGTTATTGAAGTCGGTGCAGTTTTCTTTACATGAATTTCGCTATAAGACCTTGAATGTACCATCGGTCATACCAATCATTGGGTTATAACAACAAGATAAATATATTGTTGACAGAGATAATATAAATCTAGTTTTATGTTTACACCCATAAAAAGGTTATTTATTTTTATCAAAATCATGAACCGATCAATGTTAGACAAGCATTAAAAACTTGGGAATAATGGACGACCATTTCGTCATAGTATGAGACTCCTCAGAAGTGCACATCCACGAGTGCACATGTGGGGATCGAATTGAGGCTTACCTTTTCTTATCGTTGATCTTTGGAATTGAATTCGATCAAACTCATTAAACAGATTGATACCTAATGTAGCGGTTATAATGGATAACGTCTTAAAGCATAAACAAGTAAGGGATAAGTAGGAATTTCAGTGAAAACACTGACAGTGAGATGCAGGTAAGTTTCAAATGAGGCGGAAGACACGTCACTATATGCTCAATTTCAATACATAAATAATAGTTTTGACGTATTATTCAGTCAGAAATTTAAAGCTTTACAATACACTCAGTTGAGGTTTAAGGACTGCTGTCACCTCTACATGAGTTAGACTATAATGAAACTCACGGTTAAACGATGCAATAAACTACCTAGTTGTGAAAAATATAAATACAATCTAACTATGATATAAAAAATACTTAAAAAGTGAGAACAGTCTAGAGAAACGGATATTTCAATAGTCTATGCAGAAAAAAGCCTTAAAAACAATCCGTTTTCTCCAGAAAGAATATATATAATTCACTTGATACTGTTTTACTTGAATCTTCCCATTGATGTTTAGGACTGCAATTGATCAGTCTCTCATATTGGCATATGTGCATACTGTGCGTATTGCCTTAATTTACAAGCATTATAAACGAAGATGGATAATGGCTAGCAGAGGAATCCAGGACGCACGTTCCGTCCTATTTGGGACTCGTCAGCTGGATGTAACGGCATCTCAGAGTTGATGTTCACTGTGGAACTCGAACCCAGTACCGTCCGCTTCAAACGCCATCGCGTTATCCACTTAGCTACTGAGACCTGATAGCCACTTGCTTGTGCAATGGGGTGAAGTTTAATTCACTTGATATTGTTTTACTTGAATCTTCCACTGCTAGCCACTATCCATCTTTGCTTATAATGCTTGTAAATTAAGGCAATATCGAGGCAATACGCACAGTATGCACATATGCCAATATGAGAGACTGATCAATTGCAGTCCTAAACATCAAATATATATATATATATATATATATATATATATATATATATATATATATATATATATATATATAATTACGAAACATCTCACCTGCAATAAAGTTAGAATAACATCAGATCCATTTCGAAGCTCTCGTAATACAGCTTCAGAAGCTGGAATAAATCCTGTTTGTAAACCTAATGGACCCAAAGCGTGAACAAGGTCACGAGTTAATCGAAAAGGAACCATTTCTGGAGTTGGTAAAAGTCGACCCTGGGTAAAAGATTTAATAAAAAAATAATGATATATTTTGAAAAACAAAAGTTATTTTGTTAATTTTATTTACATAAAGAATTTGTTCAAAAGAATAGATTTTACACGATGAACGCTTCTAGTAATTGAAATTAAGTTTATCTCATTAGTTGAAGTCCGGTATTAAAACGATTGGTTTTTTCTTTATCTCTAACGGTGAATTCTGAGGGTATATACAAAGATTAAAAAAGTAGTAATTTGTTTGAGTGTTATCGAGATATCTGTTTGATATGTATAGATGGTCACCTTATGTCACAATAACACTATTAATAACAACCGAGTTATTTATGAAACAATTAACAAACAATAAATATGTTACAATCTTACCTGATCGAAAGCCACACCAAGATCAATGTGAATAATTTCACCGGTAGATTTATGTAATAATAAATTGTGGGGATGTCTATCGCCTAATCCAACAAGATAACCAACTACACTAGTCACAGCGATCGATCTAATATAGGCCATTCGAGAGATGAACCAATTTTGCGGATTAGGAAATTGTTCCAAAAAGAAATAAGCAAGTACTGGTCTAGTGATAATTTAATGAGAAAAAGAACATAGCAGTGAAACAAAATAAACAAATTAGACATTGGAAACAATATTAAATACATGATATTTATGCATATATATTATCCACTTAGTCAAGTGGATAAGTTTGAAAGACATGAATATATACTAGTGAGTCGTGTATTTTTGATCTGCTTTGTTAATTACAGCTTTTTGGTAATTCTCAATCTTGGTGCTTGCAAACCAGGTTGAGTTAGCGTAAAATCGCATGTAACTATATCTAAATTGGGGGACTGTGAAACAAACCAGACTGAATCTTTGAAAATATTATCACTATGGCATTGTATCATGAGAGAATTAATTGGTTACATGACATCACAAGTTTACATAAAGAAGACATAAGTGGTCATAAAGTCATTTTTAACGTTAATTAGCAGAATGTTCGCAGTTAAGTGATACCTTTCTTTCAGTAGTTCAAATAAAAAAGAATAGTTATATGTTTCTTTGTCAAAAGAAACAATTTAGATCAATAGTGCGAAATTCCTATGAGCTAAACTACATATTTTGATGCGTGCTACATTGAACAAACTAAGGAAAAAGAGTAATGGCTCTTGTTTATCTTAGCCAGTTAATACACTCTAGACAAACATTTACGTAAAGTGATTTATAGAAATTTGTAAGGTATATATTAAACATCCGAAAAGTGTTATATAAATTACAAGTTTTTTTCAGTTCTGAAGTTGAAAGTTTATTTGCTACGATTTAACCATAAATAAACACTTGTGGTACCGTTTACGCAGTCAAAAATGACATTAGAAATATGTAACAAAAAATTATCACATTAAATGATGCAAAAGAGAAAACACAAAACAGTATCATCATAACGATAATAGTTGATGAAGACACAGATATGAAAAAAAAATAGACAAAGATACAATTGTAACATTATTTGGGATTTTGGTCGTTGTTTAAATAAATGTTTTTAGTGAACGATTATTTAAAATACATCCGTGTCCAACACTAGTCAGCATTGCGCGTCGTGGTTATCTGTGTTCACGCATACGTAAGGCATGGCCTAATTATCTTAGACAATAAAGATTCACAACCCCATCAACTCAATTATCAACATTCCCTAATACTCTGTGTTTAACCTCACTGTTACTTACCCAGTGATCCCAATACAATACAATGTTTAGAAAGACAATAAAAGTTTGACGATTGAACCAATTCAGTTTAGAGAATTCGACTTCAACAAAATTATTCACCTAAACTAAAAATCTTTGTCATTATCTCACAATACAACGCAGTAAAGTATGCATTGATAGTTTTTTTAAACATAAATTTACAGAACATTTGTCGTTGAAAAAAAGAAATATTCCATCTTAAAGTTAAAATACATAATTCGTTCTATTCGTAAACAATTAGGCAATATAGAAAATACTGTAAGTACAGAATACCAATGTTGGTCTGGTAATCAGTAGAATTATTCACGATACATAAACGAGTGTATAATAATAACTTGAAGAATTTATGATTAAAGAGTAGTCTTAAGATATTTGATTGTTTATTTTTAGTAATTTTAAAGCACATCAAAAGAAAACATTAAGATTTTTATAAATTATGTGTCAAAACTTATATGACTGGCTTGATAGAGCTATTCGAAACATTATGGTTGAAGTAACCCATTATATGCTAATAGTACCACATACAGTGTACGTTATTATTTAGGGAATAAAAGTAACATATAGGCAATAAATATGCCAGAAAAAAAGAGGAACAGTTTACTTTAATTTTTCACATATTTCATTGAATGCTACTAATTTACGATCAGGAGTTTTGTCTTTGACAACTCCCAAACGCTGTTTAGCTTGAATTGGGGGCATATCACGAGGTCTATAGCGTTGGTGAGCACCAGTACGCTCATTGGCTAACCAATCGCCTAGTGGTACAGTATCTTCACACCATTCTATAACACCACTACGCTGAGCCATTGGTATAACCTAAAACGTAGAAAAAAACAATTTGTGATAAAAATGGAAATAAATGTAGATAAAGAGGTTGAAAATGGTATGGTTTCCTACAATCGGATTAAAGATACTCAATTATTCGCTTAAGTAATAAAATATAATCTAACCTTATAGGTGCGTATGCGAAGTCCATTATCCATATCCAGCCAGTTAGCACGATATTTAAGTAAATTAACTTGAGAAGTTGAAGAGTGTGGTAAATCAATCTTATTGGATTTTCCATATTTTGTTAAAAGGCAGTTAGCAGCAGTGAAAACCTGGAAATGTAAATCAACCAACCAATAGTTGAAAATAAATCTATATTGAAATAATGTTCAATACTTTCTTGTATGTCATTATGCGAATACATGATTGTATTCCACATCAATATGAATATAAATCCGTTTGAATAACAGTTAAAGTCAAAAAGAATTATTGAATACTGAGTGTGGATGTATAATGTTTAACAAACCTGTTGCATAACTGCATCTTGTCTTGGATCATCTTTACCTTTCACCAATTGCCGATACAACTTCCCATCGGTACCTAAACAACTGATAACTTTTGGCAAATTAATTCCTCCGACAAGACGAAAATCTGGAGAGAATCCTGCCACACGAATTAAACTAGAATTTGGATATGTCCCTGATCGATCAATAGGAAAAGTACATGTTGGTAGTGCGACAAGCTCTAGCAAGCAATCCATAGTACAACTTGAAGAACGTTGTAAACTTGGTGATACCAAACCATACAATTTACATCCATTTGGAAGGGAGATATTACCTGAAGGGGAAAATTGCATTTATGGTATATAAATATACATATGTATTACGTGGGAAAGTTGAAAATGCATTGACGAAAACCAAAATGTTTCATTTAATAGTATAGAAAGCCAAATACGTAGATTCACAAAAAAATTAATTCTCCGATTGAAATTGTAAAACAAATCTAATTTCCTCTTGTAAGATCTCAACTGAAATTTTACAAATACATTCATCCTCTTTAGTGTCTCACATAAACTCGATGCCTAAATACTGTGAAACTGTTCGATCAAATTTGGACGAAAGTTTTTATGAGCTGTAGTTTCCTATGATAGGCTTTCATATACAGAAAATCTCACTTTTTTACTATTTATGAATAGTATAATAAGTGAACGCAGCAATGTGCTATTCGTACACCGAAATGCTAATATCTTAAAATAACAGTTACAAAAATCAACTTAGTATAGTACTATGTACGAAACGTGTCCATAGAAAATAAAAAGTGTATTTTCATAAGCATTATTTGATGTTGAGATAGCGAATCACTGTTGATCTTGCATATATCAGTAATCTTCTATTTTTTGCTTATTGATTACTTAAAACGTTGTAAATAGATCTCATACACGACATGTATCTATGATGTATCTGTTTGCCATCACTACTAAGCGATCTAGAAGTACTAATCATCAAATTACTTTGAAATGTATTCAGAAAAGTGATCAGAGAGAATACCTTCCGTTTTTCTGAAATGTTGCTTTGAGTGCTGATAAATAGGTATATTTAGGCGTTTATTATAGTTCTCAAGTTATTTTCAATAAAACCCACTTAGGCCAGTACTACTAGACCATCCTAGCAGGATAGTGGTTAACCTGTTCATCTTTCAAACACTAGGTCGCAGGTTCGAGTTCCGTTCCTTTTATTTAAGTTAGAGGATCCGGACATCACTGTCCTTTATAGTTGAATACACGAATCTATACTTGGTAAATGAGTAACAGATAAAAACTACCGGATTATTTGAAGCCTATAGGTGATATTTTGTGTTATATTTGAAATGAGACGAATAAGTTAATATAACCAGAATTACAATTTAGACATTTAGTAAATATGGCGAAGAAATATTTCTTTTCGAATAGCTCGCGTTAAAGGTTCTCAATGATCAACTGAAGTTCAGCGCAAGGCTCGGTAAAGTGAAAAAAATAATTTATTGTCAACTAAGAATAAACTTAGGAGAAACATAAAGTAATCGGAACACGTGCTTTGTCTTAATTATTATCGATAAGGATTGTAATAATCCCAGTATTGAAACCTTTGTTTTTTTAATTGAACACATAAACTTTAGGATACCAATGATATGCATCTAATTTATGAAAAATTGTTCAAGAACGTTGCTTAAAAAGCGTTTTGGTATTAACTTGATAATAAAGTCTTTATGTGTTACCTGTATTTGTTTTATATTTACCAACATCTGTATTTGCCCAGTCAACATAAGCTTCAGCTAAATATTTCATTTGATATAAAAGTTCTTTGCGTCGACCAATAGATAATCGATTATACAGTTGTTGAGCAGCTTGTATACGGCAACTTAGCTCTGTGGATGACTGAAATTTTTTAAAAAGTCGATAGAGACATTAGTTGCAAACATAATTTTCTACCCACGACGATGCATGATGTGAACACACAAGAAAGTTTTTAAGTATAAATAATTTTATTTATAGACTTCTAGGTCAAATTTACATTTCGTAGTAGCTCATTTATCAAGTATAGCTTTGCGTACTGCATTTTGAGTCACATTTTTTGTATAAATGTTAGTGGTAGTACGCAGAGACCCGAAAAGAAAGGAGACCAATGGTCGGAACCTGATAAACAAGTATTTTAACAACTAGACTGAAAATCAGTGACCAACTTGGGAAGTGTAGTACTGGCTGAAGTACTTTTAACTTAAATATTTTAAAATTATTAAAGGTAAGTAGAAATAGTTCTTTTAAATATTATGCTTTTCTTAAAAAGCAAAAAGCTTATTTCGTAGTTGGTAACAATTAGTACAGCATTATATGAATGTACTATAAACGGAGGTCATCAAAACAAAATGGGATCAATAACCGTCTTTGCAGAACTTTCAATTTGGTTTGAATCATTTTATAGCAACGGCTTCAGTAAAGTGTAATAAATTAGAATTTTTTTAATTATTAGTTATTTCGAAATTTTAAGCATGAGCATTGAACAAATGACGAGCAACTGGATTACTGCCCAGAGATCCAGATACTAACCATCTTTTCTGTTCATCCAATGCATATACTTCGGCATGTCGTGTAAACTGATAGACTCAATTTCAGGAAACATAAGACATAATTCCTTACTAAATATCATCAAAGAACCAGAATATAAATTGAAATTAGTTGCAGTACTATAAACTAATTTATTCTCCTCATATTTTCGTAGTCTTTATTTAATTTATTTGATGCTTTAAAAAGTATACTATGCACTATTTATTCTAACTGTATGCATATTACTTCAATGTGTTAACAATGAGATTTCGAGGAATAAATTGCATACAACATGTCATGAATGAATAAATGAACTAACCTGATTAGGAATTGTTTCAGTAGATGCTTTCAATGAATTTACACGAGTTGAACGTTGACGACTACCATTATTATTATTATCATCATCATCTAACTTAGCATTGACAAGAAATAGTAAAGTAAATGCAGAATGATGAGGATGCCAGTCTACCATTCGTTCTATTAGCTAGAATATTTCATTTTTTTTGAAGAAAAAAAACAATCCAGTTGAGTATGTAAAAAAGAAAACTGTTCATCTAAAAGAAAGTTATTAACAATGTTTATATACTCAGATATTCGGCGACAAACAATTTGTATTGTGGAAAAATAAATACCATTTCTTAACGTAATTAAAAACAAACAAAGAGCAAGTATAATACAGTGGATAAAAAAATCAACTATCCAATGTTCATTAAGTTTTGATGATTTTTGGCATCAGGAATAATTAAAATAAAGACATATATTATATTATACTACATATAATGAGAAAAAAAATGTTACATGGACTCAAAGACGGACTATACTTTATTATTTTGTTTTATCTTCATCGACAGCGGAAGATAAGCAGCTTCCAGCCATAATTTTATAACTGTAGGACAGATATTAATAACACTGTTATCGAAAACAAATTTTGTGAAGCAGGACTCAGACCTGAAACTTGACAGTTAAAGATCGAGTACATTAACTATTAACCCACTAATACTCCATGGTTTAGTACGCAAACCACTGAAACACAAAAGATACGGACCGTTATTATATCCTGTTTTAATTTTAAATATTTATGATTTTTAGATAAAAGCATAACAACTAGTGAAAGATGTATAAGAGATAACTGAAAACAATAAAAATCTTAAATCCAACAATACAAAATATTAACTCTGTCGAACAACCCACTTTCATTAAAATATTTTGAAAAGATGAGTCAACATCACATTTACTGGATAATCGAACGGCTAATTGTGGAACAAGAGGAAGAAATTTATCAGCTCGAATACTTGGTAGACGTTCTGACATGATCTTGTTGATTTTTGAAGCTCTATTTTGAAACTTTGAATTGATAGAAGACAGCCAAAGAGAAATGAAGCGAAAAATCTAGTATAAACATTGAAAGGCGATAAGAAGAATGAAAGTTTGGATGTAAAATTTACCAGTGTAAAAATCTATAAACTTGTCCTGAGTCCACACCTAAATGGATGATACAGATAGGGAATTAACATTAACACAACAGAATAAAATCTTGATGTACAAATCTCAAAATAGCTTTTAAGATTAACAATTTCACAAGTAAAGTTGTTGAATTCCGAATTATTGTTTTCACCTGTCATATGTCATCACAACAATAGCTTTTCTACTACTGTCAAAAATACACTTATCACTCTACCTCCAAGGACACGTAAACATACAATAAATGAATGTTTACTAAGCCTTCTTTAATACATTTAATAAGTATTTTTTTAGATTTAAAATTGAACCATTTGTTCTGAATTAGCTAAAAGCTATATAACAGAAAGAGAAAACTGTCTTCATTGACAATAATCTGCGTTAAAAGTATCCATTCTATGCAGTAAACTGTATATAATATGAAGATGTATACAGACAGATGATTTGACAGCGGGATAAGTGTAGATCGATCATGATATTTTCAAGGAAAAGAAATAATTAATAATTGCTTAAAACAATAACACCAGAAATGAGTTGTTATTTTTAACTAGTTATTTTCTGAAATAAAACATGTTAGTTGTGGTGAACACTACATTAAAGAATATATTTCCGAACAGTCATTGTAATAGTACAATGTCAACAAAGAAGATAATTAGTCGTTTTATCTACAAATGTTTGATTGTTCTCAAAAATGAAAAAACATCCCATGTTACCTAGTAACTACATATTTTAATTTTTTCACTTTGTAGTAAATTCTAAGAAAAATTAAGAAATAATTTAGTAAATTTTCAAGAAAAAAAATTAAAATTGCATTTATTAATTCAAAAACTGTACCGATAAATTATGATCATCAGATAGAGTTAAACACTGAGCATATGCATCAATGCTAACTTCTAAAAAATGATCAGCATCTGTTGTCAATGCAGTTAGTTCATCAATTTCCAGAGCTGATTGACGTTGAAGTAACCGTAATAAACGACTATGATCAACAAAGATGAACAGAGAGAGCGAGAAAGTACGATAGTGAGATAATGAATTTCAACATATCCAAAATTTAAAAGTAAACTGTCATTTTTATTAAATTAAAAATAATTCTATTTAATTTAAGCACATTAAAGATAATCAGTTTTTACAATTTTATTTCACTTCATTTGTAAACAAAAAATTCCACGCTAAAATAATGCTGAAACACTTATTACATCAATACGTTGTTACGTCACAACAATAAATGATTATTGAAGTCATGAACCGATCAAAGTTAAACAACCACTGAAAACCAGAAAGCATTGAACGACCGTTTCGTCCTATTATGAGACATCTTAGCAGTGTGCATTCAAGACCTCTCAATCAGGAATCGAATAAATAACCACACTAACCACAAAATCAATATTACTTGCAATCATGGACAGAGATTGACTTTCTGACTAACGAATTCAAAGGATAGATGAGGAAGGAAGGATAACAGGTATAGTAACTCGTGTACCTAGCTACGAGCCACACTGTCAGTGTGAGGGGTTAGCAAGATTAGCCAGCTACACAAACTGAAATAGATGGACGGGGTTCGGACCTGAGATTCAGTGGGTGAGATTTGAATACCTTAACCAATCAGCTACCACTCTACTAACAAATCTACAACAAAGAGTCTATACTGTTTGAACAGAAAATGAAACATCGTATTTTATGAACATATAAAAATAAAATATTCTACTTAGGAATTAATGTTTGTATAGATCTTCTGGTCAATAAACACTATTTTTAATCGAATAATTGCTAAAGTAAAAATGTATTCAGAATAGGTTTACGCGTATATGTGTGATTGATTCTACATTGGTTATTATTGACTGACTAACTATAGAGAATGGATGCCTGGTCCGAATTACGTTTCATGTAGAAGAGGATCAAATAGTTACCTGGATGATAAACAATATATGAAGATTCCAGCTTTGCGATTACTTACAGCAATTAGATAATACACACAAGGCGAGAACTAAGCTGTGATTGGTCGGTAGGAGAGGATAGACACATACAATCAAACTTAATGTAAGAGTGCTTAGTCTTACTGATTTCATGATCTATTATCGAGTATCTATTGTCGTGCAAGTTCTCAAAAACACAATCCTGCTTATTTTGTCTGCTATACTATATAGAATAATAGAATTTTTATAAAATGAGTGTTACAACCGTTGTCTAACAGACAGAGGTTAATTTGTCAACCCATTTTTGCTTATCTACCATTAAAACATCAAAGGGATTGATATGAATATTTATATAAAAAAAGAACACTAATTGATACCTTTTTTCACCTAAGTCTGATAGGACAACAACATCCTTTTGAGCTTGTGTGAGAAAGTTTTGTCTGGTTGCGAATTCGGACGATGTTAAGTATGAATTTAAAGTAGTGAATTGAGCATCGGAAAATTTAGCCAAACTCATAAAAGCATTCGCATCAGGATTCAATTTTAAACGTTGAGCTAAATTAATGGCCTAAAAATTGAGTCAATTCAAAGGAAATTCATTGAAAGAGACGATAATTACTGTAACAAGAACTGGTCATTTTTATCAGTATAATATAACAACATGAAAGAACGTATAAAAATATTGATGACTGTATAAGTACTATGTTTGGAATCAGAAAATTGAGTGTAAGTCAGTTAGTAGGTACGCACCAGTATTTCGATTCTGAGCTGTGAGAGATGGTTAGTAAGACTAACACTAAATTAGGTGAAGCGCGACTCGAGACTGAACACAAATAGTTTAACAGTTAAGTCAATCCTTTGAGGAGTTTCTGGTTAGAAAACATACAAGAGAATATGACAAGGGTTACAATTAGGGTTTTTTGAATGCTGAACAAAACGACTCTCCATAAATCTCAGCAATTCTATAAATGACATTAAAATCTTCATCACATTAGTAAGATATTCAGGCAACTTAAATTTAACTTTTACCAATCACAGTGAAAGTATCCATATAGTATTTTATTATAAAAACAAGGGTAGAACTCAGAAGTAAAATCCTAAAGTGAAACTAGTCTTAAATGCTTCCTGTTTGTGGGTTTTACTCTACACAATTAATTGATGAGCTGGTTCATAAGGATAAAAATTCATACTATGATCATGTAAAAACTCTTGAGTAACTTGAAAATTTTGTACTACTATCTTATAAGTCGTTTACTGCCTTTGATTGTTCCACAAATTAAAATATACACAACGAAACTCTCTGCGGTATACACTAGCAGTACAATACCGCTCACAATATTTGGGAAGACCTTAAGAGCCTGGCACATGTGTAAATTGGGTTAAGTTATTACAACTCATTAGCACAGAGAGATGAGACTGTTAGGGCAAATTTCACAGTAGTACAGCTGGTAACGGTATTGGTGGTAATAGAACAGATTAGGCATTGAAGATACGATTTAATAAATTTAAATTAATGTCGGGGTATTCAGAAAATACCCCAGAAATTATCTAATGCCATTCCTGAGTGAGAAATGGTGTCATTTTCCCCAAAAACTCATAGTTTGTATGCAGATGTATACGTGGGCATTTCTTACCACCCACGCACATAGTCAACTGACGAACTATCGATTAGATGTTTAAAAGCTCCATGGCAATATATATATATATATATATATATTTTAAATTGTCTTTGTAAAAACTGCTGGTTTTCTGGTTGTTGCAGAATATACTCTCATTTCAAGCCTGGACTTCTTCCTCTAGATAGCTGGAGCTGGGACGCGTCATTAGCTAGCTTACTAGTCTTAATCATGGAACCTCGTTCTCGTTCGCAGACTACGTGAACCCGTGACAGTTTTTCAACCATAACAAATTTGGCGACGGCGGTTTTTCAATTATGGACCCTTCCAAACTTGAACTGTTACTAGAGCAGCAGCTGAAATTGATGCAAATGTTGACCGAGACCAGGGTTACGTCTCCCTTGCAGCCAAGCACGTCTAGTTCAACCACGGCACCATCGGTAGATGGCATCACAAACAGCATAGCTGAATTTTATTACGATCCTGATTCTAATGTTACTTTTGAGATGTGGTTCAGGCGTTACGAAGATCTATTTAAATTTGATTTCGCCAATCAAGATGATGCTTGGAAAGTGCGGCTGCTACTTCGTAAATTGGGTTCAACTGAGCTGGATAAGTATTGCAATCTGATCCTGCCTTTGAATCCGCGTGACCGATCTTTTGAAAACACAGTTCAAACATTAAGCCAACATTTTGGCGATAACTCGTTACTGTTTAATACTCGTTATCGATGCTTGAAGCTAACTATGAATGAAGATGATGATTTCCTTAAGCATGTGGGCGTCGTCAACCGTGAATGCGAACGCTTCCGGTTAAAGTCCTTGACTGAAGATCAGTTTAAAGCCCTGATCCTCATTTGTAGCCTACAGCACCAAAAGTTTAGTGACTTACGAACAAAGCTAGTAAGTCGATTGGACCAAGACCCAAAACTAACCCTTAACGATATTGCAAACGAATATCAACGCCTAATCAACCTGCAGCGTGACACCACTTTGGTTCAATCTGGGGGCCAGGGTGGTTTCGAAGTTCATGCTGTTCAGCACCAGAAACAGTCTTCGAGATCGAAAACCTCGAGTCCTTCAAACGCTGTTTCCGTCCCAAACCACTCCAAACCAGCTCAGAAGAAGCCCTCCTTGCCATGTTGGCACTGTGGAGACTGGCATTATGTGAAGTTCTGCCCATTCAAACAGCATATGTGCGATTGCTGTCAGAGAGTGGGTCACAAAAGCGGCTTTTGCAAATCCAACTGGTTCAAAAACCGTCAAAATGCCCATACGCAGCGTCGTTTTCCAAAACAGCCGATTACTTCATCAAGAAGTTTAGAAGCAATCTTCCACACCCACGCCGCGACCAGACGCAAATTTTTGACCCTCTTAATTAATGGTCAGCCAGCTCAGTTGCAGTTCGATACTGCATCAAATATAACTATTCTTTCGAAAAAGACTTGGCGAATCTTGGGCCAACCTCCCATCAAACCATCCTCTCAGACAGCCGTCAGTGCCTGTGGGTATTATCTCCGCCTTCATGATGAACTTTATTGTTGTATTTCATTCAGAGGTACAACCTTCAATGGGACATGCTACATCACAAATTCTCCGCTCAACCTTCTGGGCTTAGATTGGTTCGAAGAACTTGGTCTCGCTGATCTTCCCATTAGCACTATCTGCAATCAAGTACAAACTACTGCCTCTACACAACAGCATGCTGCAGACCTTCAAAAACGATTTATTGAACTCTTTCAGCCTGGTCTTGGACTTTGTTCCACAACGGAAGCTGTTTTAAGACTGCAGCCAAAAGCTAAGCCAGTTTTTCGCCAAAAACGTCCAGTTTCATACGCACCTCTACCTCTGGTTGACACTGAACCTCAACGTTTGGAATCTGAGGGTGTTCTAGTACCTGTTGCTTATTCATCATGGGCTGCACCAATTGTGATTGTAAAAAAATCCGATGGTTCCATAAGCATCTGTGCAGACTTCTCTACAGGACTCAACGCGGCCCTACAACAGCATCACTATCCGCTACCGATCCCAGATGACTTATTTACCATTTTAGATGGTGGTACCTACTTCGCTAAGCTGGATCTGGCGGATGCTTACCTTCAAATTCCTGTTGCTCCCGAATCAAGAGAGTTGTTGACAATTAACACGCACCGAGGACTTTTTCAGTATACCCGGTTACCCTTTGGTATCAAAACTGCTTCAGCGATCTTCCAACAGATCATGGATAGTATTCTGGCAGATGTTCCTGGTGTCGCTACATACCTTGACGATGTCCTCATTGTCGGCTCAACTGCTGATGAATCGCATATCAGAACACACTTAGTTCTACAACGCCTCCAAGATAATGGTTTTCGCCTTCGCCCAGAGAAATGCCAATTCTTCTTGCGTTCCATTAGATACCTGGGGTTTATCTTTGATGCTTCCGGACGACACCCTGATCCTCAAAATACTCATGCAATCTAACGAATGCCTTCCCCCATTGATGTCTCCTCATTGCGATCATTTTTGGGAATGATTAGCTACTATTCAACATTTCTTCCATCACTGCATGACGTACGATATCCATTGAATCGTCTGCTAGAAAAGAATGCTACTTGGAAGTGGTCCACGTAATGTGAGTTAGCCTTTTCGAAACTTAAATCCATGCTAAGTTCCAAACTACTGCTAACGCACGACAATCCGAAACTACCCATTGTGGTTACTGCTGACGCTTCAACACATGGACTGGGTCCCGTACTCTCGCATGTCTTTCCAGATGGTTCAGAAAAAGCGGTGATGCATGCTTCAAGAACACTAACGCCTGCTGAGAAACGCTACGGCCCGATCGAGAAGGAAGCGTTAGCCCTAATATTTGCTGTCCGTCGATTCCACAAATTCATTTACGAGCGCCGTTTCACCTTTCTCACAGACCATAAGCCGTTGTTATCAATCTTTGGATCAAAGAAGGGCATTCCTGCCCATTCTGCTAATCGTCTTCAACGTTGGGCGTTGGCGTTATTGGGGTACGACTTCGAAATCCAGTATCGACGTTCCGAAGATTTCGGCCAAGCAGATGCACTGTACAGACTTATCAGTAACCATTCTACCACTGATGAGGACACACTCATAGCCACAATATCAACGAAAGAGGATTCCGGTGCTACACTATTAGCGAATGCCGTTCGAGCAATGCCTGTTACCGCTGAAGATGTTCGGCAAGCTACCAGAGAAGACCCGATTATTCAAGAAGCGATCACCTATGTTCAGAGCGGATGGCCAGTTAAGCAGCTGAGTGGTGATATGCAACAACTAGCGAATCGTCGCAGTGCCCTCTGTGTTGTTAACGATTGTCTGATGTTCTGTGATCGCGTAGTAATTCCAACAACCCTACGTTTCAAGGTCCTACGCCAATTTCACTCTAGACACCCAGGGATAAACTGTATGAAATCCATCGCTCGCAGATATGCATATTGGCCGAACATGGACAAGTAGATTGTCGACTTTGTCAAAAGATGTTTACATTGTCAAACAGTTGCGAACCCCCCCAAGTTGCCTCCAGTACCCTGGACAAAGTCAGAAAAACCCTGGTCGCGAGTACGTATTGAATTCATCGGACCCCTAGATGGTGCCACATATCTGATGCTGGTTGATTCCTTCTCCAAATGGCCGGAGATATTGCCGATTGCGCCACCCTCTACAACTCGAACCATCAAACTCCTTAATCAGATCTTCGCTCAGCATGGTCTTCCAGAAACAATAGCAACAGACAACGGTTCACAGTTCACATCCAGTCAATTCCGAGAATTCTGCCTGCAAAACTCAACCAACCATGTCCGTTCTCCGCCATATTACCCGCAATCTAATGGACAAGCTGAAAGGTTCGTTGATGCATTTAAACGAGCCATGCTTAAAGCACGAGGGGAGGGGACCATAGAAGATATCATACAACGATTTCTAATGGTGCATTGGACGACCCCACATAACTTATTGCCAAACTTCAAATCCCCCGCTGAGGTGCTTATGGGGCGGAAGCTACGGACAATTCATGGTGCGATGGCACCCAAGCAAGTGGCTCAGCAAAGCCCCCAGATGAAGAATTCCCTACAAAGTTGGTACAAAAATGTATGCGCGGGATTATAGACACGGGTGCGATAGATGGGTAGAGGGTGAGATCACAAAGAAACTGATCCTCGTTCGGAGACTACGTGAACCCGTGACAGTTTTTCAACCATAACAATTAATGAAATAAAAAACCTTATAAGGAATTTGGAAACTTAAGATCTAAAGGAAGATAGTGAGTGAATGCATGTGCGACACTGCAAACGGTTGTGAGTAATGTGACGTAAAGTTTCTAACCATTGGTTATGATGATCACACAGACCCCAATCAGTCTATCTGCACATACCTACATAACTCAGTCCAACAGTCAGTGTTTTTATGGTCTGATGCCACAACTTGGTTTAGCAGCTCCTAGTTTCCTCCAGCTTATTCCTACATCGACCGTAATCGCAACTCGAGGTAGTCGATGGATGGACATACGCAATACATGCCCTAACCATCTCAGTCGATTAAACAGTGTTCCATTTATTTAAAGTTAAGGTTGTTGCCAATCGATTTTACATCATTGCACTAGGTTAAATTATTCATACCAGTCGATTAATATTAGCTACTAAGAATATCAAAAATCATATTTCATTTATAAATATATATCCAGTAAAATATTGATGAGTTAATTGTTTTCATCGCTAATGGTTTTATCACATTCACAAACTTATAAACTGTAAAACAAACGAGAAGATCTGACAATGTAGTCGAAGACAGCCAGTATGTTCAAATTCATAGGATTAATTATAAGAGATGACAAAGGAAAGAAAATATCAAGGAGTAAATATTTATATGAAACATAACTAACTTACAGGGTTAATATAGTTGAGCAAGAGATCAGCGGCACTTTTTGTTCGAGATTCATATAACCAATTACATAAAACAGTTATACCATGAATATAACAGTTAATATAACCGCCTAAATGCTCAGATGATTTATCCGTTTGTTCTACCACCTAAATATAAAATTTCATTATGAATAGAAAGGATGAAATTACTAAGTGAAATAAACATTAAAATTAAAAGAAATAAGAACAACAAATCAACAGAACAAGACGTTAATTTAAAATTTACATTCATCGTCAAGTTTATAACAAGTAATAATGTATCATGGATTATACGTTTAAAATACTGTTTTACTGTGAAATCAGTGTTTTACAGAGTATCTCAACTTAAGATGTCGACTTCATACTGTCAATAGGTTTTTCAACCTGTTACATGAATTGATAAGAGAATTGTAATTTCTACATCATGTACTGATTATTACGATTAAGAGTTGTATGTCTCAATTATCTAAAGGGTAGATTGCTGAATGACCAAATATGACGGTTGACAGATACAGTCTTGGTTATTTATGAATAAGCAATCTAAAATAGCAAAATGCATGTATAATCATTACGAGATTCTGAGAATTACAACCACTTGTTTTTCATTTAGTACTATGAAAACTATTTCAGAATAATCGGATTGAATAAACTTGACAGGATTTATACTCAATCTAAATAAAATGAGTTAATGAAAGCATTGATTAAGGTGCAGTTATCTCATTTTGAAAATAACAACTACAATTGCTATCCCACAACAGATCACAATCACGACTTACATTAAGCAGAACTTTCACTAATATTACAAAGCTTTAGGTGTAACTGGTATTCGAAAAGGCTACAATTTTAAGATCTCAAATGAAGATCAAATAACAACCAAAACAATTTAATTGCATTGATGAAAATAATAATAACAACAACTGTGACTATAAATTATTAAGGTTCCCATTTATTATTATTTATTTGAACTCATAAATATTGGTGGACACGGTGAGTCCATCTAGGGGAGTTGAGAAACCTTGATTCCAAACCAATGGTACACATGGGCTCCAGTATCCTGAGGGAACAGATGGCGTATGAACCAATCTTTGGTCACTGGCTACCATGGCACTGCATCTCCTGGCGTTGCTCCATTGCCTTGTGGGTCAGACCTTTAGATCAGAGGCCTCGAGAGTGGCTCCCTAAGAAAACCACCTACTTCGATCTGGGCACCCGGGCAGTATCACAACCCATACACAAATAAAATGAAATGACGATAATAAAAAAGGTTCCCATGGTGATGACGATCTAATTCAAAACAATAATGTTCGTTTATATGTGTTGTTATAACTGTGATTGTATTTACTAACGTAATAATAATAATAACAATTATTATTACAAGTTTATGGAGAATGTTGAATTTTAAAATTTATACCATGGACTGATTAGTGGTTGTTTTGAATTAATCCATAATACAAACTTTGAAATTTAACAATCTTCAAAAAACTTTTACAATAATCATAATCACATGATCACAAGTGGCTAACTTTTAGAGGCAATTCCATAAGTTCTAATGAGAATCCCAGGTTAGTAAAGTTAAACGATGTCAAATGTGGTGAAGTTAATATTGTGGAGATCCATAAAACCCATCGAAAAAAGCCAGAAAAGGCTCTGAAAACACTAAGAAACATATTATCTAATCACCATTCACTAGAAGTTTAACCAGAAACATCCAAAAAGTGAAAAATCACATGTCGAGTTTCTGATTGGATAGTTAGTTATACTGTTATGTTTAGTAGCGTTCCAGAATTTTCCGGAAACCCAGGACCATCTAAAATACCATAAAAACCCTAAATTTTCTGTATATAAACGAACCTTCAGAGGAAAGCGTCTCTTCCATATTTCCCGCCTTTTCTATCATTTTCAAGTTGATGTGTAAATATAACCTGGGGGTTACAAGAAGAGCTTAGGAACCGAATCTAGCGTTCAATTAGTCGACTTATCAGTTACTTACTAACGGCACTGGAAGATGGTCGCAAAATATCAATGGATTCAAGTAAAACATATACATTATTGGATTCCGCTCTACTGGTCTAGAGGATAGGTGCTTTCACCCAAAACCGACGACTCTAGATTGGAGCCTGGGTATGAATCATGCATGTCCACTCTTGAAAAGTTTCCTACTAAGATGAAACAGCTATTTAGTGCTTTCTGATTTTCAATAGTTGCTTAACTAATATCAGGTTGTGATGTAAACTATATTATTATTAAATTTACTTGGTGTTGTTTTACTTGTATCTTCTCATTTTTATTTAAAACTGCAATTGATCAGTTTCATGTTAGCATATGTGCATCTTGTGCGGATTTCCTCAATATGGCCTGAAGTCACAAGCTCTTTAAACAAAGATGGATAGTAGCTAGCAGTGAAATTCAGAATGAGCGTTTCGTCCCATTTGGAACTCGTCAACTGGATGCACCTGCATCCCAGAGTCAATGTTCACTCCAGGACTCGAACCCAGTACCGTTCACTTCAAACGCCATCACGTTCTCCACTTAGCTACTGAGCACTGATAACCACCTAATTGTGTGATGGGTTAAAGTTTAAATTCACTTGCATCTTCCCATTGTTATGTCCTAGAGATAACTCTCCCCATCATCAATCGTATCAGAGCAATTGGGAGTCATAATAAGAATATGACTTTTACTGGAGATTCTATTCCAATCATCTAAAGTTATTAATATATGTCTCTAACTATTATTATCATTATTATTTTTAAAGAATATTATTCACTTAAAAAAAGAAAACAAAAGTGAGATAAAATAATACTTACTTTATTAACAGTTTGTAAACCAGATTGTAATCGACTAATAGATAAATCATAATCACCTTGTTGTCTTTCTAAATATGATTGAAGTTTTATACATAATAAATTTTGCCAATTATAATTAATTTTTTCATTAAAATTATTTTTAAATAAATTTTGACAATAAATAGCATTATTTAAATAACTTTTTATAAAATAAATATTTGATGATTTTATTGTTGCTATTTCAGCATAGTAAAAATATGTAAAAATTAATAAATTTTTTAACTGATTATTAATAGAATTAACAAAAATATTTTTTATCAATATTAATTGAATAAAATGAATTGATAAAGTTAAAAATGGTTCTAATGTATTGAATATTGATTGATTTAATTGAATATAATTTGTCGTATTAGTAGTTGTAGTTATGAAATTAATACAATTTAATGAATAATTAAATAAATTTAATATTAATTGTAGACAATAATTATAATTATTTTTATGTATTAAATGATTACTTAATTTATTTAAAATATTTAAAAAATTAATTTTTTGACCATATAAAATTAATTGATCAGATGAAATAAATTGTATTGTATCCGAATATAATTCTTCAATAAAACATTCACTAGAAATAAAACAAATAAAAAACAAGTTATTTATAATAATGAAAAATAGGATGAGATTTAATTATTGTGTGTAATATTTAGCATTTCAGAAACAAGTTTCTCATTCAGTTTATTTATGTAAATATATAAACATTGGTACAGGAAATGTGTTACACTTCGTTATCTGATTTGTGTGAGAGCTGGAATACTATCCTGATAACTAAATCGAAGCAGGTGGTTTTCTAAGGAGGTCATCAATCCCAGAGTCTTTGATCTAGGGTTCTAATCTACAAGGCAGTGTAGCAACGTTAGGAGATGCAGTCCCATGATAGCTAATGACCAACAATGGGTTCATATGCCATTTGTCCCCTCAGGATTTCGGAGTTCATAAGTAGCATTGATTTAGAATTAGGGCTTTTCAACTACCCTAGGTAGATCCTCCGTGATCACCAAACCGGTTAAAGAGCCGGACATTCGTTTTTTGTCCTCTTAATTTCGTAGACAAGGCCGCCGCCACGAGAAGGCAGTGAGTAGGACTTCCCTGGCAGTAACTGCATATGCGTGTCCATATGAGAGCATTTCGATAGAAAGAGATAACTCTTCCCACCGTCGATCGTACCAGAGCATTTGGAGGCTATAATAAGAACATGACTTTTACTGAGGATTCTATTTCAATCATCCAAAGTTACTAATATATATCTCTAAAATACACACTATTGTAGAGCATTGCCAACTTGTTTAATAAAAATGCAAACAAACTAAAAGTTGGATTTTGGGATGAAATCAGTGAGAATTATATTCTTAAAATGCACTAATTACTTATTAAGTGAAAGGAAAAACACCCGAAAATACTTAGTACCACACATTGAAAACTAGAAGAGCTACAAATCCACGGAAACCTATGTTATCTCATGAAAATTACAACTAACTGTGATCTACTGTTACTGCTAAAAGATTTCTATCTATAAAATAGGTTACATATACTCATAAATTAAAATTTCTGGCTAAATAATAATGGTGATAACGCAAACAACGTAAACTGTTTGTGTGAGGTTTAGTGGCATAAGTCGTCCACCTAAAATGAAGCAGGTAGGACAGACTTCAAATATTCAACCTATTGGTTGAAATTTTATGCATAACATTTTAAAAATATCATGAATTGATTTAATATAATTTAACGACAAACTATTAATTTAAACTGGATGAATATTTCTTTCCAATGAAGGACTTCCTAACAAGACGCAATTGGTGTTCTGTACTGAGCTTTCACGTCAGAACTTCAAATACAAAAAGACCATCCATTAAGCTACTAGGATTAAAGAGTTGTCGTCTCTTATTCAAATAACGATGTTTCTTATTCAAGGTTGAATGTTCGTGCTATAGATTTAATAAAAGTAATATTCATAAATAAGTAGGTGTTGGATTTTCGAGTAAGTATACTTAAAGGATTTGAACAATCTTTAAGCAAAGAATTTTGAATAATATTAAGAAATAAACATTTCATGCAAAAAATTGAATGAACCATATACCGTTGAGCAGTAGCTATTTCCGATACTCTACACCAATCCGATTGTGAAGCAGCTCGTAAAATCCAGTAAAAGGAAGTTTCTAAACCACAATTCTTCCAATTTGTAGGTGGACAAACTGAATGGGAATATGAACAATCTAAATTAGATATATCATCTAATTTGTTATCCCATTGGTTTAAGCGCCATGCAGCGGCTGATCGTAGTTCTTTTAATGTTAAATCCGATTGTTTACTAGCTATTATAGAGCATAAATAAGAACAGAACACAATAAGTGTAATATATATGAGTGATTATAAGATGTTAACAACTGGAACCGACTTGAATTTATTTGTAATGGGAGGTTTAACTTCGGTAATTATATTTAAAACAACTTGATTCGTTGTAAATCATACATAACGTACTATTTATTGGATGTAATAATTGTAAATTTATAACAAATGTGAAAATTTGATATTCATTATTAATATATGTTGAGTTGTCGCGGCTTATTTCTTCTAGGATTAAGATATATACACTGATCGACCAACGAGTAGTAAATGATATCGTATTTGTCTTGCCATTAATGCTGGTCAAATTCTATCAATCAAATTGCAGTGTGGTCAATAGTGTACATAACTGAACATACCGTGCACTACAATTTTATGTTAGTCGGTCAAAGATTCTCAGTAAGGAACTCTGGATCTAAATTTCATGTGATTCCAGGATTTACTGCCGATTAACTCCATCCACCTAAAACGTTTACTCTAATTATGGTTAGTGTTTTATTCTAGCTTATTACAAATGCTTGTTAATCTGTCTTATCAACGCAGTATTATACCTTAGTCTATAACCAAATTATCTATTCTGAAACATTTTTTATAACAAGTGCATCAGGGAAGAAAGTTTCAAATGTTTAAAACTTTTTATTCGAATTTATGTCAGTTTGTGGTGCCAACATCTAGTGATGTAATACCAACTCAGACCGAAGTACGTAGGGACAGCAGGGTTCCAACATGTAGCTTATTGCTTTACATTCAAGTATTTTAATCATTAGTCTCTCACATAAAAAGGTTAAATTGCTCAGAAACGTGTTTTTTCATGACTATAGGTGTCATCAGTAAAAATCCGATTACAAACCATGACATGAAACTGAAAAATAATTAGTGATCGGCATCAAAATTTTATGTTTGTGTTTTGTATAAATTTACAACTATTACAGTGAATATACTGGACACAATGTAGAACCACTGTTCAACTGTCTGAAATGTATGTAGGGAGAAATTTCGAAATGGAAACCTAATGCCGTATTATATATATTGACTGTGCAATAATTCATTGATATTCTTTACAAATTGAATTGGAATTTCAACAACAAATTATTTGATAAATAATTTACCGATAAATAATAAATTTCAATTTTAACCAAACATTGCGAATATATATATAAACCTATAATTACCTGTTAAGTCTACCGAATCATTACGACTGAATTTTTCAAATAGTCGATTAGCACCTAAGTGTTGCAAGCAAGAAGCCAATTTAGGATGTACACTATTTGGTGAAGAATCCAGCTCTTCATTTAGATCATATTTATCATAGCAACTAAGTAAATAAGACCAATTGCCCAATAATTCATGAACAGCTAAACTGCATATATAAATGAATAAATGATGGAAATAAAAAAAGAAAAAAAGTGGTAATGAACGATTGGTTGAAATTTGTGAACCTTTCACTTAGATTAGGCCTATATTTCAAAAAGTGTTATTATTCATGGAAATTACTAGATCTACGTTGAATGATTATGAATACTCGTTATAAGAGTAATATGGAATAATTGTAATACTCTGAATATTACCTGCTGTTAACGTTTTTTATATTGACTCTAATACTAACACATGATGTTAGCGAATACTAAACCGTATGTCTCAGATAGGAAAGGAATTATAACATAATTTAGTCTACAAACTAATTGAATGAATAACTGGTTATCGTATTTCTTGATTTAAAGGAAGAAAATCCTGTGTATCATCAAATGGCAAATACAAAAGACATTTTGGAAATTTTCACACATTTTTACGTACTTTGTCTTATCTAAAAGAGGATGAACATCAAAATGTGTAGATTTTTCTTTAAAAGATTGTTCAGAATTATTCCAGGCTAGAAAACTTGTCTGAGATGCAATTAAACCCATTAAATCTCCCGATAAGCGGCAAAGATTAACCCAAATACGATACGTAGTTTCATTAGTTGTAATCCAGTCATCGGGACAATTACTAGATTAAAGATGAAGAGTTTATGAAAAAAGCTAAATATATCTCTCTACAGAACAATATGCATAGATAAAATGATAATAACAAACTTTTATTTTCGTTTGACGGCGGGACTGTAATTTGTGGATGGACCAATCAGATAAAAATGAAGTACTTAGGTTTTCGCGGAAATTCATCAATTCAGATGGTTAAGTAGCATTTTGGCATTACAGCTGATGTCAATTGGTGATGTAAACCTTAGTTCTAATCTGTAATACTGATTCCCCACAGTGATTTATAAACCTATTCGAATGCCTTTAAATGATTGAAGTTTCTCAAAGCCACTTTAGTCGCGACTTTAAGTCGTCCATAAATTATAGTTTTGCCCATTTGATTTTTATAAAAACCAAATGCATTAGTTCGCTTAAAAGAATGAATATTGAACCGATTTTTTCCGAATGGTGACAAATAATAAAGGCTTTATGAGATAACGATATAATGAAATTATTCATATAACTTAAGTAATCAAGAAACAAAACTTGTGGACTTTTCACTTGAATTTCAATATACCAAAGGTTTGAAATTAGTAAGCATGAACAAACGCTGACGTGCTAGTGATAAGGAGATAACACAAACGAATAATCAATATTATACTCGGTGAAGAAGTTGGTGACTTTTATCACAGATCACATCAATAAAATGTGAGAATTCTTCAAGCTAGAAACATATGACAACACGCTGCTAAATGTAGTGGTATATACAACAACCGAGTTTGATAAGGACAAAAAGATTACAGTTTATAGGATTAATCAGCATATTTAATTAAAGTTTAACGACAATATTATAATTTATAAATAAACCAATGAGATTTCCGATAGTAGGTCTCGAATTTTGGAGCGAAATTCAATAATCTATATGGTTACATAGTTTTTCATTATAGTTATTAGTTTGTGACGAAAACTCTCTAAATCTTAATCCTATTCCCTCATACGAATTCATAACCCCTTTTTAACCCTGCTAAGTGGTTGAATTTTCCCAAGTTCATCTCATCATCGTTTAAAGATCCTCTATAAGTTATGGTCCCACCAGATAAAGATGTTAATTAAAACTAACTTACTCTGATAACCAGGCTAATTCCAGAAATAAACGAGCTTCTTGAGGTCTCTTAAGGGTAGTAGCTCGATCAGCAGCACACAACCAATTGATAGTTATTGAAGGATTTAAAGCTATATTTTCTCTTGATAATTAATTGATATAAATTATTGAAGAAAACCCGAAACAACACAAACGAAAAACAATAAGTTATTTCTGTAACAATTACAGTAAAGAAATGTATGTATACAAGAATTTTATAGTTTACTTGGTTAGACAACTGCCAAAAACTGGGGAGCACTAGATAGCTATTTCACCATAGTATGGGTCCACTGCAAGCACTTAAACTTTAAACCTCTGAGTCACTGAGAGGCCCAAAGTTCCTGGTTCCGCATTCGGTGTAATAGTGGATGAGAACTGACACGTAGTCTATCCTAGGACGAAACAACTATTTATTGTCTTTTTGGATTTGAATATTCTTGAAATAAAGTCAGTTTGCGGTGTAAATTAAAACATTTAGCCATATCCACATTATACTAAGTATACAGCAATCGTTGTTCAATTATCTGTAGTCGGTAATCTATATACAAATTTTGGGATGACTACAACTTAGTATTTTTGAATCAAACATGTTTTGAGTTCTAAATTCGTCACTTGATATTTTGTAAGCATGTGGTGCTTATAAACGTATTTCTAGTAAAATGAAACAAGAGGTAATGGCTGGATCACTAGAATAGATTTGTTTATTTACAAATACTGAATATCTCACTAAAAAATTAGAGCTATACAACTACTCAGTGACTAAATACAGGTTCAAGTATACTAACTTAGAGTCACCTTTCAGACCGAATGACTAATGACAATACTCATCTTTCAAGAAGTGATCAAATGGGACTATATTCAAAACTGTAATCTTAGTGTCTCGATCACTAGATGAACTCTCTACATAAAAACGTTAGGCAATTGTAATGTTTAAACAGTAACCACATGTAAACTAAGTTGTAGTGGAAAAAATTTTGGACGTCATTGGTCCCACTTAGCTAAAAGAAAAGAAAATATTGAACTCATTTATCTTTAGTAAAAGGTTTCTCTATGTATCAAAATAAAGTAAAATGAAAGAAATATTAGTTACCCTGATCTCTTAATCCACTGAATAAAATGATTGAAAGCAACTAGAGTTTCAAGCAATATTTTCTGAAACCGAGGCAATTCACTAAGCGAACTATTAACATCATGTGATAAACAAGTTGTGATGCCATCACATAGAGCAGAATTAAACTGTTGCATGCTTTTATCCACTGTGTTGTTTGATCCGATTCTGATAAGATAATATGCGATTAGCCATGAACATAGTTTTTCAGTTAATTCATACTGAAAGCAAAATAGTAATAGTCAATACATTGAATACTCAAAGTTTACTTATGATTAATAATGTCTAAAACCGATGGAAATGTAATACGGACATAAATTGACACAGTGAGTTAGGTCGATCCATTTATATGTATCAAGATACTACATAGCAATCAAAAGGCAGTAGAGATAGACAGCTCTTCCAAATTAACAAGAAAACGGATGTTAAATAATTGGCTGTTAATAATAATATTTACTCTCATTTTGGAAAATTAGACTGATGGATAAAACACTGTAATGAGCAGTTCAAATGATCTCTAACTACTTCCAATTACCCACTATCTCCAAATAACTTGAATAACGAGTCAATACAAGCCCCGCAAACCTTAGTGAGATTGGAAAGATCATACATATCTTCACGAAGGGAAGAAAAACAGAATATGATTGGTCAACTCCAGACGTTTATTTATTATTTATTTAGAAGTAAAGCTACCCGAGATACTAAGAATTTGGAGAACTGCACCTAGATTTGATCTATAGGAAAGGGCTAAAATTCTCTTGTGGTAACCACAGAGGATTCAGTTAGCTAATATATTGTCGAAAGTATTAGACTCAATAATCATCCGACGTTTGTCTGGTGCTCGGGAAGACCAGGTTGGCTTCAGACCTGAACACAAATTGATTGATACTCGACCTTTATCCGGCTGTAGAAAACAGACATACTTGTCGACATCCAGCTACAGCTGTATTTCTTGATCTTAGGGCAGCATTCGATCATACTGATTCTGTGGCAATGTTTGTCATCGAAAGGTGGATCAAAAAAGGCATAAACTTTACAAAGACTCTCTATTCCAATGCAAATGGTCAAATCAGAGCTTGTGGCGAAATTCCATCAAAATTGCCCACCTCAAATGGTGTTTCCCAAAGTTGCCCATTGCCTTAATTTTTATTTACTTTCGATAAACATGTTCTCCTAGAAATAAAATTTTCTCCAACTAATTTTTCAGGGATCAGTCCTCTACCAGAGGGTTTGCCTATCGATTTAGAATACACAAATGATGTAGTCCTAGTCGGTGAAGATGCTGATAAAACGCAGTTTCTTGATCACCTTAAGTAACAACACCAGCTTATGTTTGCGATGCGTTACTCTCCCTGAAAATTCGAAATGTTGCTTCAAGGATGGTTTGCATCAACTTCTAAGTTAGTGATAGGGAGTGAAGTAGCTGAGTGCGTTGATAACCATACGTATCTTGGAAATTTCCAGCTCTGGAAGGTTGGTGTCTAACGAAATCTCGGCACAGATTCAGGAATCTCGGTTGGTGATTGTCAACTTATGTCACTTGTAGCGCAGGGAGGATATTCGTCTACAAACCAAAAAGCAAATACACTAAGCAATAAAACAAGCTCTTTATGACTCTAGACATGATTTTTGAAAGTAGAAAACATGGATAGATTGAAGCTTCTTGATCATAGGTGTCCTCAAGGTATATCTCGGATATTGTGGAACGAACGAGTAAGCAATTTTCGAATAAGATGCATGGTATCACGTAAAGATGAAAATGTTAGTGAGATTTCATCATCTGAATTGATTAACACATATGTTATGTACCCCCGATTTGCGTTGTTATGTGGAGTAACAATAGGTTGGAAGAATGCTAGGGAGAGTCAAAACATAATGTGGTATCAGCCCATGAATCCCTTAACTGTTAATGTAACTCGATGTTATCGATACCGATTATTTAATTAGAGACGTTGAGTGATATGGTCTAGAATTGGTAACAACCCCCTATATTCATTCACTCTATCTAAACATAGACCTTTAGTTCCAGTACTTTTCCACACATACCATTTTACTGTCTTTCCGACCCACATTCTTAATATTTAGTCTTTCTCATTATCATTAGTATCATATTTCTTAAGAAACAACTTTATAAATAAGATTATTGTCACCCAAGATCACTAAAATATAGTGTTGGGGTATTCAGAAAATACCCCAGAAATTATCTAATGCTATTCCTGAATGAGAAATAGTGTCATTCCCCCATTGGTCAACATTCTTCCAACGTGTCATTTCCCTATTGGTCAATATTTATTTGTCATTTCCTGAAGGTTAAATCTTGTACAAATGTTATTTTCTAATTTATGGTACGTTATGGTCTGTTTGATTGCTATATAAACAGAGTATGTTTGAAATATAATGATTCATATCACCGAGGCTAAGACTTGTGTTCTGGACTCAACTGACTGGGCTAGACAGGGAAGCAGGGCCAATCAGAGCGCTAGGCTGCTCGCATGTATTTTATGCGTCACTGTTTCGATCGATAATAGGCTGCTCTCTAATAGGCGGATCACACGTTGTAACATATAGTGCATGGCACCCCGTGCTGGAGGTAATATTTTTAAAAATAAGATGTATATCGTTTTCGGATGTCTAATGTCACCATGATTTCAATGAGAACATGTGAAGACAATAAACAATTTTTTATCTCAAAGCTAGAAAAATCAAACAAAGAACCCACTTACGGAAAAATGTAAAAACGGTTTAATGCATATAAGAAAATCATCTTGAATTAAGCCTGATTCTAGGAACCATATGACAAAATCCATCAACCATGATTGAAAATTTGTGGCACTACAACATATTGTCAAGCTATTTTCCAAAAACAATCGGAGTTTATTGGTTAACATTGGTAAATTTTCCAAAATTTGGGCCTATTTAAAGAGTAACATTAATATATAAAACATTTAGCATCATTACAACTTGATAAAAATGAACATTTAGTGGGATGTGATTTTCAAAAACAAAATTGAACAACATAACTACTGAAAGATACATAACAGAAAACGTGATGGGCTATAAGGTTTTATTAAGTGGGTAAATAAGACTGAAGAACGTTATATCACTATGAAAATGAACTCATTAAGGCTGAATTAATTTGTACACTACAATACGTGAACCAACTAACTAATATTTACTCAGATACTATAACAATAAAGTATTTAGTATAGGACCCCAGTAATTAAAAAAAATGATAATTATTTATTATTTGTCTTGATTCTAATGTCCAATAGTAAGGAGTATATAATTAAGCTTAGAAACTATAATCACTAAATAGGCGAGGTGTCTGAATAAATGTTAAGTTGATATGCTCATGAAACAATGCATCACTAAAATTTAAAACTACAAACTAGTATGTAATTAAATGGTAAAAGCTAATAGGCATAAATACTATCGAACCAATAGAACTATAAGATCTGCATATTTGAGTAATTCAATTATAGTTTATTTGATCATCATGAGTTATTTGTTTAAATAATAAGTTTCAAACCCAATAATGTAATTGGATCTGGAGATAAAAACAACTGTTATCATTAACTGGAAATGATATCCCTTTTTATTCAGGATAGTAAAAGTTATTGATATTTTTAAGTGACTAACAGAATATAAATATGTAGTTTTGTTTGAGAATGGCACACAAATATGACTAAATTACATTAAACTCACAAAAAAGCTTCTATGTCCTTGTATATTCTACTAATCTAATACAGGTAATTTAATCACACAAAGATGTCCCAGCACAACTTGTAATCTTAATAAAGAAATAGATAAATTCATGAAAAAATCACCACGAAAAAAACTAACCTTCTCTTTAAGATCCAGTTTTTGAATAAGTGATACGGAATTTTTATTTCGAGTTGACGTAAACCGACTAGAAATATCAGTTCCCTGGATATAAGGAGCTAGAATAGTATGTAGATATGTTGGTAACTGATTTTCACTGGAGTGTGTCAGTAACGAAATGACCAAAGAAGAACACTGATTAAACAATCCATGTAATACTTCTGATGCACTCAAAGTAATTAATGAACTGGTAGTAACAAAAGAAAATATAATAAAAGAAATCAAATCTATGTACAGTTATATTACATTACTTAAAGTTAGTGTTTAGAAACAGAAATGTGAAGCGTTAGCGAACTACGAAAATAATTTACTCGATAATTTTGAGCCGATGAAGAGGTTAGTTATGTTATTCCTAAAAAGTTTGTAGGGCACTAATTAAATAAAATAAAACTTCTAAGACAATAAAGTGATGGTCACACTCGATCGTACTAACGCCCACAGTTATAAACTGAGTCTTTGATTTTAAAGGGAAATAACGACATCGCAAAAATTTCTGAAGGAATGTGAAAGATTCTAAACTTTATCAACTGCTCCACTAACCAGAACTATGCAAAATGAGCAATCTAAGTCTACAAGTGAGTCTCTGATTAGGTGACTAATACTAGAGATTACAGGAAGAAAGGGTTATATTTAGGAGCATATTTTTAATAAAGGGAAATAAAAATGGGGAAAGTTGACAGGTACATCTTTAAATGATAGTCTGCCGTAGGCTTTGACTGATCAAGAGTATTGAAGCTAAGCACTATCCGCAAGTTTGAGAAAGACTTGGAAAGTCGAGTGCCAGTAAATATGCCTACGTTCCAAAAACCAACGAGGAGAGGGCAATATTCGATAATCCACAGAGATATTGTTTATCTAGCTGCAAATTTCAAACAATATGTGGATGAAATTCATTATTTTGTAGCATTTAATAGTTTCACGTACTATTTACATTATATTTTCTAGATTTTCTCATAACAAATAAATGTCGGATGACCGAATCTCTTGAAAAAAAGATGAAACTAACGACTAATAGCAATAAGTGATTTCCACCTTATTAAAACAAATATTGTTTTGTACTTCATACTAGACTTACTAATTTAACTGAGTTAGTATGAAAAGTACTCAGAAGCTGGCCTTTATTAGAGGCTGAAAACACCTGAAGAATTATGGAAAGTCAGAAAATACTAAATAGTTGATTTTGTTTCGGTTTAGAACTCCTGTGTCATTATGCAACCATAATTCCACCAGCGATTGAAGAGAAGTACATAAGTTCCTGAGGCATACATAACACATATAGAACACTAAGTGGTCGGTTACAATGTTGTTGTATATAACACTTAGACTGATTTGCAAAAATGAATAAGGATTATAAACATCGTCACTGTTTAATAGTACAGATATTTGGAAAACATTTGGAAGATTACTAAGAGTTAAAGTAACTACTACTTCATTCCTTTCGGTGGCTATTATATCATGAAAAGCATATACGTCCCTGGATAAGTAAATCCATGGAAATAGGATAACATACTTCGGGATACAAGTTGCGCAGACAATAGTTGATAAAATCTGTTGTTTCACATAAAACATAGGATCCAGAAAATCATCACTCTCAGGAACTCCATAGTTAAAACCTCTACTTGCAGGATCTATAAGATTGAAATTTGAGAGAGTGAAAGAATTCGTGACTTGTTTTAAAAGAATAAAACAGTGTAGAGCAGATCCTTCAATCTTAGAATCCAAAAGAGTCGGTAATCTCTGGAACCATTTATCAGGCTTTGAAGGGTTGAGAATGGCTTCCAAGTTATTCGTTAACTTAGTCATATTTGAAAAATCTGAAATAGCAGAAAAATGCGACAGGAAATTAAGTTCACGTATTTACCAGTGCAAACTAAAAAAATAAAACCCAGTTACTTACATGTTTAATATGAGAAAGACATGTGGGTATAAGAGACTCACCTGTCATGGAAATGGAAAGTCTGTGCACGATCAGTTTTATTTTGGGAAAATTTATGACAAAATGTATGTATCAAGAAAAAAATTTCCAAACTACTCGCAGACCATCAACAAATATATATAAGGGATATTACTATATAAGGTAAATATATCCTCACGCAAGAAAATAGGATAAGTAGAGCTGTACATATATACTTAAAAGTTTAATCACTCACCTATTTCTGTCATATCTCCACCATTTCCTACATTATTCATATTTGTAGCCATCAAACCAACATGCCTTTGCTTATTTTCTGTAGATTGTTCCGTTAGTATAGATTTTATTTGTTGAAATAACATATCAGTTTTGAATGTTGATTTATTTCCTTGAATAACATTAAACATAGTTGACATATTAAAAGATAACTCCTCAAACATTTTAATAGGATAAACTAATAATTGGGATGAGTGAACGATATGAAATAACTCTAAATCATTCGAAATTATTTGTAAGAGCTGAAAGAAAAACAAATAAAAATGTAAATAAAATGGTTTTGTGGAGTTTTTCGCATGCTTTGAAAATGATTTTCTAAAAGAAGGATGTTGGTTGGAGAACTATTGAAAACCACACGAGACTGGACAGTCGTTTTCATTTTAATTGAGAATTGAACAGTAGAGGTGGCCACTAACGACTACACACAAGATTAAACCAAGTAATATCAGGTCTTTCAGAGAACGATTATTTAGCTACATCGAAAATTGACTGAATTTAAAAATATAGATCAAGTAACCTTAAATCAACAGTCTAAGGATGTAATGTTTCTTAAGAACCTTTCAGGTTCTAGAATCGACTTTGTATTGAGTCGTGGGTAAGAGAACTAGATGAAGTCAACCATAAATTTTACCTACAAAAAACAATAAAGGTGGTAAAATCCATTAAATTGAGTGAAGTTTATATTAAAGAAACTTCTGAGTAATAAAATGATTAATTTGTTAGTTGAAACATTAATTTCTAATCATAGATGTTCTAGCCCTATTCCAATTCGGAAAATATAAAGACGTTGTTCAGTTTTGTAGGCTTCTATAATATAAAACAACTTGGCACAAAATAGGTATATTGTGACCAAATATAATCGTATTTTAAAGTTTATAAAAGCATGATGAGGAATCTGACAGAAAGACTAACAAACTACTTTACCGGTGGTCTATATTTGCAGAGAACGAAAAGTAACACTACTGTGGGCTCGTCTCAGTGGAAACATTGAAAAGATGAAGATGCATGTAGACTAATCTGACAAGTATAAAAAAAAGAACAATGTGGAAACCGTCAAAAAAAAAACAATGATGTAATTAATTTGTTAATTATAACAAGATGTTCACAAGAAACAAGAAAAAACGACTTATATATATATATATATATATATATATATATATATATATATAAGACAAACCTGTTGAATATTTTCTCTATTATGTGTTGATAGGCAGCTAAGAGATTTTTCATATTCTTCAAAAAATGAAATGTATGATGTATCAGTGGATGAGGAATCGATGTAGTTACATTTCTCAATATCAGGAAAATCGCATAACTGACGTACTGCTTCATTGAAAATTGAAGGCTTATTTTCACCGACAAGTAAGTTTAAAATCGTTGCAACCTAAATGAGGAATTATTTTGCAAATAAATAAAGATATAATTTGAATACAATAAGATTATTAGTGCTTTTTATTGACCATCATCATTAAATTACTGCGATTCGATGTATTTTTTAATAGTCACACTTTTTGAGACGTCAGATAGTGGTTGGAGGTAGCCAACAGGAAACCCTGGATTTAGGTTTTGCGCTATTTGACATTCGTTCGCAAGGTGTATCTGTACTCTTGAGAAGACTAATGCTCCACAGAGGATTCGATCTTATGTCATCCAGCTTCACAGTCAGAGACGCTACCACCGAGCTATCTGGGGTAGCTACTGACCTCCTAAAAATCTGAGATGTATTTACAGTTGATTCATTACTGGATGGCAACCAATGTCATGTATATTAGATCGTTTCTAGTGCAGATCGAATTCTGTCAACTAAGTTACGATGTGGCCACCAGTCTAAGGGACTCAACAGGGTTTCTCATTGACCACCTCCAATCACCAACTTACATCTCAACATAGTGCAGGGGATGTCTAGTAACCACATTACAACATAACCGAAAGGATTTGATTTCCACTAAGAAGGACCTGACAAGTATGACATTGTCACTACACAGTGACTAGTCACACTTTTTGGTGAAACATGCAACATATTTTACTGTTTCATTACTAATTAATAAATGCTTCGTTTCATTGAATTCCGCGTAAGAGTGCTCTTTATCTCACCTGAATATAATCCACATCAAATGATTGGTATAGCTGACTTTACAGGAATAATTAAAGTGATAAGTCCAAAATGAAATGACCAGATGAATCTATTTATGAAGTTATTGGTAAACATATGCAGGCTGAAGAACGATTTAGTCTACCACTAAACTGCAATGGATTTCTTGAGGTATATGTTGCTTATCTCTGTCGGACTGGATCTAGCTTATCTGCTAGGCAGCGTGCAACTTTGTGATACGGTGAATTGATCATTCACAGGATACGTTTAAGGAGGACATCATGTTTGTGCTCCTTTGGTAGACCATACATATCAGGTAGGCGTGAGCGGCGAGGCTTTAGATCACTGCAAGTAGAATTAGTAATCAATTTCCATTTTAGAAGTTCCATAAGCATCCCCGTTATTCGTTTTTCTGTTGAGTCAGCTAAATCTTTTTTTGGATTTGTCTACTTTGAATTTGCGTAAGTCGTCTAGGATTGACTCCATCTTAGTGATATAATCAGCTGTGTTCATTATGACGACATCCGAACATTAATCTGTTCGTAAGATGATTACTTCGTCATTATGTCTAGTACTTTTTAATTCTGACAGATGTTCTTTGGATATAATATCACACTTTGATGTCGATGAAATACAGTATTGGTTGGAAATATTAACTAAAGTTGATTTAAACCAGCCCTTCTTTTCCTCATTGAATGCAAGTCTTGTAACTGGTCAAATAAATTATTGAATTGAGCTTTTATATCAATCCTATCAGTATTTGTTTTTGGCACTTAAAACTTGATTCTCAATGGTAAAACTTCTGTTTTTATTTTATTAAGCATCATATTCGTGGAGCTATAAATAAACTTCAAAGTGGTTTCAGAGAACCGTAAATATAGTTGTTCTTTTATCAGAGTTTTCGATAACGATTTATGAAATTTCTTGCAAATCTCGGTTTGAAGATCGTGGATAAAGTTGATAAATTTTTTCCGACATATGATATTTAAATCACCGAGCACTTTATCAAAAGCACTGGCTTCAGTCAGTAATTCCATTGATTCAATATGTGATTTGATGATACATCGAAGGTTACACCGAAGTTTACATGAACATAAAATATAAGTTGAAAAGAGGAATTACAAATGTTTTGTGAATTTTCCTGCTCTATGGAATAAAATGTTAGATGAAAATATAGGCTAAACCAATCGCTATAATATTACAGTTGGTCATAAAGGGAACTAATTGCATGAAATATGTATTGATTTTCATGTTAAGCCAAGATGTATAACTAACTGAGCAGAAATATTTCTTCTCTTAATTAAGTTCTTATGTTTTTAAACAATTTATCTGTTGAAATACAGTGAACTTTCTATGTAACTTAAAAGTCCTAAATTATTTTGGTTTTTTTGGTATTTTTAATCATAAAATATGAAATATTGCTTCCAAAATTATTTTATATCATTTCGAATGATTTATTGAACAAGTAGACGTACAGAATTCAAATAATATATCTCACTTTTATGAATGTAAAACTATCATAATCTTTCAATAAATTTGTGAACTACAAATGATTTCATGATAAACAAACTAGGAACAAATAAAATCATGAAGCTAAAAAAAATACTAACTGTTTAATAGGCAAATTTCGTAAATATATTATTATTAAGTATAGAACATGAAGTAAACAGTAATGATACCTTTTTTAAAAGTGGTCGTTTCAATTCATCAGGATAAGTAGACTGAAATTGTTTGTTTGACTGCAAGAGATTTTTAGCTAAATTTCTAAGCGTATACACAGTCGAATGATGTATACTAATGAGTAACTAAATGGGATAGAAATATGAGATAAATTTATACACAAGATTAAACCTGAAAATAAAGGATAAATTATTATAATACTTAATTAACTAGAAAAGAATATAGTTCAGTTTAATTTTTAACAAATCTTATGGATTCCCAATAGAACTTCATTAACTCATGCTTAACTAAGTCACTAACAATCATACGATGGTGAATTAATTATGTGGAGATTAGTTCAATTTGTAGGTGATACTAGTGATGGATTGACCTCGGTTGGAATATAAGGGCTGAATTCTAGCCTCGGGAGTTAGAGATAATGAGTTCGATCCATGGTGAAGTTCTGGATGAAAATTACCGAAAAGTTCCATACTAAGACAAAATAAGTGTCCAGTAGTCCCTGAACTTCAATGTTACTCCAACGGACATCAAACTGTGACGAAACCAAAGTAGAAATATTTTCTGTTATTATTAATAGAACCATATTTACGATGCATTTTACGCAGCTTAAAGTGAATAGTAGAAAGTTCTACTGTCTAGGTTCTGTATTTATTAACATCTACCACTCTGAAAAAATCAATGCTCTATTAATAATAGGAAACTAAATCGTCACAAAAATTAGCACTGTAGTTCGTTAGATCATTCATCGAAAAACGCATCATGAAATATATAGTACCAAAATAAGTGGCTTGGTAACAGTATAGTTAAAATCCGATCAAATATGTGAACTAAGTAACATAGCATCGCATAATAACTCATTAATGCACATACGTGGTGATTCAATTAATCAACTTATTTTCAAGATTTCGCGCCATGAATTCAATATGAAATACTTACATAATATACAGTAAGTTAAATATAAATTCGTTTCTTCCGAGTGTTACCATTCAATTCAAAGAAATAAAGGAATATAAAATATATATGTCCAAAAAATAACGTAAACCTCAACATACATAAATGTATAAACAAAAAAAGATGTACCTTTGAATTTTGTTGAAACAAGGAGAATGAACGAATTTTAACAAATAGATAATGAAACGAATCGAGAAGTTCATCAATGTGTTCAATACTACAAGTGAAATCAGAGTAAACAGGTTCTTACTGAATAAATAACTCAATATCAATAGATGAAAGTAATGTATATATATATATATATATATATATATATATATATATATATATATATATATATATATATATATATATATATATATATATATATATAGTATCCAATAATGTGGAGATTTCTATACTTGGTTATTATCACACTCTAAGTGCATGAACAAATACACCAAATACATATGCGCCACACAGATCTCACTTGATATGTGTGGGGGCTGTGATACTGCCCGGGTGCCCAAACAGAAGCAGGTGGTTTTCTTGGGGGGCCACACCCCGAGCCTTCGACCTGAAGATCTGATCCACAAGGCAGTGGAGCATCGTGAGGAGATGCAGTCCCATGGTAGCCGGTGACCAACGATTGGTTCATACACCATTTATTCCTTCAGGATACTAGAGCCCATGTACACCATTGGTTTGGGATTCGGTTAAAGTGCCGGACATTCTCTTTTCGTCCTCTCATTTTCGTAAACAACACCCTCGCCACGAGAAGGCAGTGAGTAGGACTTCCCTGGCAGAGGCTATATACGCGTGGCGATGTGAGAGCATTTCGAGAGGGAGAGTGGACTCTCCCCACTCTCGGCCGTACCAGGGCGTTTGGGGTTACATGACAATATTGAATTAGTTTCATTCCGATAAGTTTACTAAAAAATATTTAGATCAACGCTCTATTAAGCTTCCCTTAAAAAAATACTTCAATAAATTTTCGCGAGAAAAGCTATGAATAATATATTAACTAAGTCTTTCGTTTAAATTCACGAAGATTGGTAAAATTACTATTAAATAAAATTACAAATATGAAAGACTAATATAAATGCTCAAATATTTCTTGGAACACGGTAAATATAAATAAATAATAGAAACTTTATAAGTTTGAATAAAGAACAAATATAGTAGCAAAATAATATGAATTCATTTATCTCGTGGATTCATCTCAGTTGCTTACAACCTAAAACCTACCTGAAGTTTGTGTTGACAATGTTCAGGAAAACAATGAAAGCTTCACCATCCAGTTCAGAATAAATAACTCCCAAATCATCCACCTGAGGTACAAATCTTCACCATCTCTGAGCTTTAATTAACCAGTCTATATTACATCATCTAATAAATGAATTCATATTATTTTTCTATGATAGTTGATTTTTTATTATTCAAGTTTATAAATGGGAAAAGTTGTAAGAAAATCTATAGTAAGATTCTAGATAGAGAGAATCTGGAAAAAAATGGATCACTAGCTACAATAACATAGCATGAGCAGAAAACAACTAATTTCTTATCTGCTACATACAGTTGATAATTTTGGCAAGAAACACATCATGTTATAAAGACTTCTTTCATGTAAAACTACATTTATTAAGTGTACTTGAAAGAAAAGGAATACAAAAATGTCCAAGACATTCAAATTATTTAAAAATTTATTGATGTTGTGTGAGACTACTAACTATCTAAGAAATGTGAAAGAATTAAATTGAAACATGATTTATTGAACACTATGTAAATATTTCTTGAAGATGACCATAACAACTTACCGAGTTAACTCACTAACCAGTAGACTGACGTGTCCATTTACAAAAATCCAAACAGAAAACTCTTGCACTAATCTTAATTGATCATTATCACCAGAATCAAATGATGAAGTGGTATTGAATAGTAAAGATATAATGAGATTCGATATTGCACACCAACACGTCAATCGCAAACAATAAGGTATTAAACGATGTGATACATTAATAGTAGACTGTGGACAAAGAAACTGTACACCAATTTGATAAAGACGGTTAACTAAGTCCTAAAATTAACAAAAAGTAGGAATGAAAAAACAAACAGTGACAAGGCATAATACGAACTAATTGTAAGTAAAATAGGCAATTAAATGGTAATTTATTCATTTACTTGATTTGTGAGTAGAGTAAAATATCATAATAAATGAAGAGTGATTCCCAATTTATTTGACAAGGATAAGTTATTGAAACATTTCTTAAATATATGGTACATGAAGGTTGCTATTTCAAGTAGAAGATTTACGTTCATAAGATCCATTAAAATGATAATCTTTAGGTCAAATAAAACATTTAGGTAACAAGTTAGATAGAATGATAACAAAAGAAGTGTCTGAGCGTATAGACCTAATTATTATTCGGAAGGCTATGTTAACACTGAGAAAGCGTTCATTAAATTAGTCTTAACTCAGATGCCGAAGGTCTATTTGACATCGTATGATGTTAGGTAATCGACTGCCAATAAAAATGTGAACATAGAGGGTGACGATTTGGCCTCTGCAACTCTACATCTGAGAGAAACGACAACTAGAAACAGAAAATATCCGTGGATTACGAATTTTGTATGAAAAGCTTTTGCGTAGTGAAACCAACTATTTGCACAGGTTGGAGTTACGAAACTAATCATAACGAATAAAGGTACAAATCCATGGTAAAGATGACAGTTGCAGTTATCAATGACTCACAAATTGCCTTGAGTAGTTTGATATTTTTCATATATACATATATAAGATTAACGCTAGGTACGAAATTCCGCTAGGTGTAGCAACTGAATCAATTAGATTCCAATCTGGTGTCGAATAAAGCTCTGGTTAACATATTATACATATCAAGTTGCCATATATTCTGGATGGAGAGGATTTGGTTGGAAAATAGGCAAAGTTGGCTAGACCGAAATATGGTAGCAAGTTGTCAAGTTACTGACCGTTAATTTGCATTATGTAAGTTGAAGGAAATTATTGATCACAAACTCATGCCTTCGTCCATCAGTGATGCTACTCCATCCTATTTCTGACAAACGCAAGAAACCAGAAACATTAGAGCATTAGCCAAGTTATTATTCGTTGTAACCAAGTCAAGTAGAAACGTCTTGCGGAAATTAAGAACTTATCCGACCAGCATCCTGAGATATCGTCTGTACAACATAGGGAGAAAGTTGTAGAATGAAGTGGCTTATTGAACGAAGAATTCGAATTTTAATCGCTACGTCATAAATTCGACCTTTTGTCTGCATGACTGACAAGCGTTAGTAGTCTTTATGAAAAAAAAGTAGTATGGTTTAAAGTCGGTTATATGAACTTTAATTGGTTATTAAGTTAGATTACCAATAGATTATTGTCGTAAAAAGAACTTACTGAATTAATATGACATGAACTAATCAGATCATAGGCATAATGTAAATGATGTTGTCTTGTATCTGAAATCTGATTAGTAGATGCCAATCGATCATAATTTAAATTAATGTATAATTTGGCTAAGCAATTAATAAGAAATGATCCAAGATAGTGATGACTTGTAAGAGATTGTGAAGAGCCAGGAGATTTGTCTGGCATATCATAAAGTACGCGTAATTCAAGCAAACAATGAATTAGTTTACATACATTTGTTGCTTTTAACAAAGTTGTATGAGTAAGCTAAATGTAAGCAGTTGGGTAAAGTTTGTAGAAAAAAAAACTACACATCAGTTGACAAATTTCAGTCAAAATTACTGTTTGCAAAAAATAAGCTTTAACACATGCAAATACAAATTAGAATAAAGATGAGTCTGAGTTCCTAGTTAACTATGTTGGCGAATAGGTGGAAATCTGTAAAACAGAATTAAATGATGTAATCAACCGCATGTAATTAGAACAAAGTTCACTTGAATTTATTGAACTGGGATAGTCTCAAAATAGTTTGTATTACAAAATTTCGAGCCCATTTTTACTTTCCATCTGCTTACAAATTATGTCACGGCTCTGATTCTAATCGGCTTCTAAAATGAACTAGATGATTGCTTAAAGAGGCTATTATAATTGAGATACTGGGTTCCTGATTTTCAGTCCAAAAGTACCAGAATGAAATTTTAGATTACTGAGGGAGAATAGAGGTACAAATAACTCTAACAAGGTCCAGGAACTATACTTACAAACTTCGATTAGAGCCAGACAACCATTTTCTGCAGTCAGCTTAGTTTTAAATACATTAAGATCTAATAAATATTATTTTCCTAGTGTGTCATATAATAAATGATGGCATGAGAAAAAAATCCATAAATTCCTAGATACACTAAATGGAAAGCGGTTCTTTCAATTCTTCTCATGCATGTGATTTCACAAGCCTATTTAAACTTGTAAACACAGTTGTAGGACACGAAGAATGAAATTGTTTATGCTAGACAAAGAAATAGCGCCAGTTCATAAATTCATTGACAGTAGGTCCAATCTATGTTGGTAAATGCAAGCTACCTGTTTGTTGTTTACGCAATCAGAAGTTAGAGACGTTGTATGAGTTGTCTTAGTATCGCTCACAATGGCGTAGATACATTCACTCTCTATATTCCTCTAGATCTCGAATTATATCATTTATTCACACCTATCTATCATTTTTTTCTTATCGAACCCAAACTCCAGGTGTTTAGTCTTCTTCATTATCATTATTACTTGAATTATTTTTACTCCTTTGCTATTAATCTTGTTAATTTCAGTTTATTGTGCGATAGTGGTACGTAAACTTGGACAAACGCATATTTGTGCTAGGCTCTAGGTTGATCATGATTGTCATAAATTTATTTACGATTAATTTAAGTTTCAGACAGAATTGCATTCCTAAACGAAGTACCATCTCAATATTTTTTAGTTCTATAAATAATTTAACTATGAATGAAAAACGGACGGAAATAAATTATTTTACCCCTTTATAACGAAAATTTTATGAATTACAGTTCGCTAATCGTCAAATCTCATACGCTATTCGTAATCTAAACGACTCTTCAGAAACTTTCATTCTGCCAGTCAGTCATAATCAACGTTCCTAATCATTCTTATTAGTTGACCATAATCATAATTCGTAGTCGGTCTAAGTGATCTTCTAAAAACTTGATAAATAACTTCCAAGAGGTAGATTCATAAAATATGAAACAATTCAAAGTGACAATCGAATTCTGATTATCATGTATAAGTGGGAGAAACGTACCAGTTAGTCATGAGATCTACTTACGATAAACGTCTTAGCGATACAAAACTTCAACCTGACTTAGAAATCGAAAACTGTAGATCAACATAAGCACCTTAAAAACCATTTAAACGTTTTCGCAAAATCTTCAGATAAAAGAAACTATTTTTCAGCCAAATATTTAGTGATATGAAGTTCACACCATGTTAAAAACATCAAAAGTTGTATTGAAGAAAAGTTGTGTTTCGAAGCTTATTGTGAACTGTGATGATTTAACTATAGTTATTAGATATTAAGATATAGTTACAAACCACAGCTGAAGACTATAAGAGAACAGAAGGCAACTGTCACAAATAAAAAATTAAGATCATAAACATAAAAGAAATATATCATTAGTAGGGGGCCGCATTATCCCATTATTAATATTGTTGACTGAACTTTGAAGTTTTAGTTAGTATATGTGCATCATGAGCAGACTGCTTCAATAAAGCCATTTTATTGCAAGTTATATACAATAGATAAGATAATTCAAACCCTTTCTAATAATGATATGAATATGAAATCCATTTAATAAGTCAATCGCTATCTGGCCTAAATATTTCACTGAATAACATGTTGGGCGCTTGAAGCGAAAGGTGTTAGGTTCGGGTCCAGGTGTGAACGTCAACACTGGAATGCATGAACGTTCAGCCAACGAGTTTCGAGAAGAACGGAACGCCCTTCATGGATGCCCCTGTTAGCTGCAGTCGATCTATACAGAAGCAATATAAATATTTACCCAATATTCAAAACTAACCTTAGATCCGCCACACAATTCTGTGATTATATGCCATTGTGGAAGTCTACTGTTATCATCCATATTTTGCATGATTGAATGGATAAGAATAGCACTCACTAGTTCAGGAACATGATCAGTTAAAAGAGAGCTAATCATCTTGATGTCCTGCAATTTGATAGTAGGCTCATAGAAATCAGTCAAAGCCAATTTCCCAAGAACTGGACAAATTTCCCTAGAAAATATGTATGAGTCAAACATATTAACGAAAACCAATTGATAAGATAAAAGTTTATCATTAAACAAATATACAGGTATTGAAGTAAAGCATACGATCAGTGATAAGGTTGCTAACCTCTCAATTATTATAACAATTTTGATAACTTTTTAATCAATGAAACATAAATAACCAAATAAAACGATGAAAGTTGATTAGATCATCAGAAAATAATTCAACAATTTCTGAGTAGTAGAGCATCACTAAACATTTTTGTGTTTTACTGTATAGTGTACATTTTCAAAAGTTGTAATATCAACACTTTAATATTCGTAACAAGAAAACACTGAATCACATGTAAAGATTGTGATTTTACTTCATGACAATCATAGTAGTCGACTTTCAATAATTTTGGATGGGAACCAATTACATTTTAGAATTTCCTGCAATAAACTTGTTAACCTTTACTATCAAAATTACTGTTTTTTTATTAGTATTATTATTACCATTAATAAATCATTACCAGGTAAGCATTCGTGTATCTGGTTTCGAGTCACACTTCAACTGTGAAGCCTAATGATAATATCCGGCTGTCCAGACCAAAATAGATGAGGAGGAGTTCGAACCTGAAAGAGTGGCTCACTTGTTTCACTAAAACGGATTTAGTGTCTGTTGATGTGAAATAGAATCTAAGACTGCACCAGTTTTCCGCTTGGTGTGTCCGAAATTTTATTCTACACTAAAACCTACTTTATCAGTATAAAGTGCATGTCCACTTGACTGATGTTTATAACTGAATATCATCCCTTAAATTAATTACGCCACTTATGTTACAAAACATATATCCATTTCATGCTTTTCACTATTATCAGTGTTACTACATAGGCGCCCCCAAATGCCCTGGTACGGCCGAGAGTGGGGAGAGTCCACTCTCCTTCTCGAAATGCTATCACATGGCCATGCGTATATAGCCTCTGCCAGGGAAGTCCTACTCACTGCCTTCTCGTGGCGGGGGTGTTGTTTACGAAAATGAGAGGACGAAAAGCAAATATCAGGCGCTTTAACCGAATCCCAAACCAATGGTGCACATGGGCTCCAGTATCCTGAAGGAACAAATGGCGTATGAACCAATCGTTGGTCACCGGCTACCATGGGACTGCATCTCCTCACGATGCTCCACTGCCTTGTGGATCAGATCTTCAGGTCGAAGGCTCGGGGTGTGGCCCCCTAAGAAAACCACCTGCTTCGGTCTGGGCACCCGGGCAGTATCTCAGCCCACACACTAAAACTATGATGAACTATCTGTTTAAAGAAAATATTCGTTTCTCTCCGACTAACATTGAAATGACTGGTAGTATTATTATTATTATTTACTACGTCATCTATTCACTATCTCCTATTTCTACTTTTTGTATCCGCTTCGACTCAGACAGCAGCTCGCCTATGGTGAAAATTCAGCTTTATCTAAACGTTCTCGAGTCACTGCCTGGTTGGAAATTGTATGTTACCACCGAATACGAGTACTGAAGCAGTTTTTCTGAAACCACGTACACCATTCAAACTGGCTGCCTTCAACGTTCGCACACTTATGCAGGTCGGACAACAGATAGGGCTGGCTATGTCTTTGGAAAGTCTTAATATTGATGTGTGTTGTCTATCCGAGACCCGTATTCAAGACTCTGGTGAAGTACTACAAGTTCGCTCTCCATCTGTCGCTTCAAAAAGCTTGTTTTATGTGCGTTTATCCGGGGACCCTGTGGCATCTTCGTCTGGTCTTCCTGGTGTCAATGTCGCACTAAGCGCTAGAGCTGAGGCAGCACTAGTCGACTGGATCCCCATTAACAGTCGGTTATGTGCTGTTAGATTAGAAATTTCCATCAAAGTGAGAAGAAATCGGCATGAGAAACGATGTCTTTTCGTCATCTCCGCCTATGCCCCGACAGATTGCAGCCCGGATGCAATCAAGGACGAGTTCTACCACCAGTTAACTGTTCTTCTCCAGAAAGTGCTCTCGACAGATATTGTAGTACTAGCCGGAGACTTGAATGCTCAGGTCGGGCGTCTAGGCACAGAAGAGAGTCGTTTAGGTGGCTGATGGGGACTCGTTGGTCGCAGCACAGATAACGGGGAACGTCTACTGCAACTATGCACAGACCACAACCTGTTTCTGGCTAGCACTAACTTTCGGCACAGTCATCGCCGATGTGCCACCTGGCGTCCCCCTTCTGCATCTCAAGCCTGGACTCAGATTGATCACATAGCGATCAGCTACCGCTGGCGCGGTTGTGTACAAGACTGCCGCTCCTTTTGGAGTACCTATCTGGAATCTGATCATGCTCTGGTCTGCGCCAATCTTACCTTACTTTTCAGTGGACAGCGAAGTGACCGCCACCAAAGGATTGTTGTTAGCGAGCTGGTTGCAACTTCTGTTGCTAGTAAATACCGAACCGAGCTAGCTTCTAGGCTAGCTACCATTCCACCGAAAAGCATGAATGAGCATTGGTTGCAATTGCATGACGCCATGAAAATGGCAGGTCAAGTCTGTTGTGGGTTCGCGAAACGTCCCGCTTACAAGCACTGGGTTTCTTCTGGTTCCTTACAACTCACTGAAGCCCGTCGGTCTACTCCGGGTGACCGTGAGTTTGACCACAAACGAAGGATGTTACGTAATGAAATCGGGCAAAGCTTGCGTAAGGACCGAGAAGCCTGGTGGTCGGAGCGTGCCAGTGAGTTGGAAGCAGCAGCTGCATCTGGTAATTACCGGAAGCTCTTCCAACTCATCCGAGCCACTGGCAGCAAGAAGTCTGGTGTGAGCGAAACAATCTGCGAGGATGACGGAACGCCAATCACTAACATCCATCGACGTCTTGGACGATGGTCAGCATTCTCCGAAGGGCAGTTCAACTGGCCTGCTGCTCCGGCAACATCGGTCAGACTGTCCTGCCCTCCATGGCCGGTGACGACTGATCCACCAAATGAGGCGGAAGTCCGCAAGGAACTCCAACTCTTGAAACGTTACGAATCACCGGGCCCAGACGACTTACCTCCGGCTCCTTTTAAAGATGGTAGTGACTTTTTGACTAAGGGACTGACGACGTTGTTTACAAAGGTCTGGGAACTAGAGTGTGTACCAACGTCATGGAATGAGTCGATAGTTGTCCCTATCTTTAAAAAGGGTTCACGTCGTTCCTGTAACAACTATCGGGGGATAAGTCTACTTCCGAGTGCGTCCAAGCTATTGGCTTCCGTCATACTTCGTAGGTTGTTCAAAACCCGAGAAAGATTGACTCGCGAGGAGCAGGCTGGGTTTCGTTCTGGTCGAGGATGTATTGATTATATCTCCACCCTCCGCCAAATGTTAAAACACCGCCATACTTATCAAAGGCCAACAATCGTAGTGTTTCTTGATATCAGGGCTGCCTTCGATTCGTTGGACAGAACTGTTCTCTGGGATTGTCTATTGAAGAAGGGTGTGCCTGAGAAGTTTATTAACATCCTAAAAGCCCTATACACAAACACCTCAGGCAGAGTGAGGGCATACAACCACCTTTCTCCATTATTCCATTCAAGCAGTGGAGTTAGGCAGGGTTGCCCAATCTCACCATTCCTCTTCAACTTTGCCATCGATGACATTCTGGAAACAGCTCTGACGGATGTAAGTAATGGTGATGTGGATCTGTTGCCTGGAGAAAGACTTCTCGACCTTGAGTATGCGGATGATATTGTCTTACTGTGCGAGAATGCCCAAGCCATGCAATCCGCACTTAATCAGTTGGCAATCAATGTCCGTAGGTATGGTATGTGCATTGCACCCTCGAAGTGCAAAGTTCTTCTACAAGACTGGCAGGATTCTAATCCTGTACTCACTCTGGATGGTGAGCAGATTGAAGTAGTCGAGAAGTTCGTGTATCTAGGTAGCTGCATAAGTGCCGGTGGTGGCGTGAGTGATGAGATCGATGCACGTATAGTGAAAGCCAGAGCGGCTTATGCCAATCTGGGCCATCTTTGGCGCCTTCATGATGTTAGTCTGGCTGTAAAAGGTCGGATCTACAACGCGACGGTGAGAGCAGTTTTGCTCTATGCTTGTGAAACCTGGCCTCTCCGAGTTGAGGATGTTAGACGACTCTCTGTGTTCGATCATCGCTGTCTCCGAAGGATTACTGGCATCCAGTGGCAACACCATGTCAGTAATGCAGAGGTTCGGCATCGAGTGTTCAGTCACAGAGACGATAATGAAATTGGTGTCACCATCTTGAAACACCGACTTCGGTGGCTTGGACATGTTCTTCTCATGTCGTCCCAGAGAATTCCACGTCATGCATTATTTGCCGACTCTGGGACTGGTTGGAAAAAGCGGAGAGGTGGTCAGTATATGACATGGTGTCGTGGTATGAAAGAAAGCTGCAAAGGGCTGGCTTGTGTTGGCCCTTCACGACTCCCTGGTTGGGGTCCGAGAGACGGTGTAACGCAGTGGCTAGAGGCGTTATCAGATATGGCTCAGAATAGAAGCCAGTGGCGATCCTGCTGTAACCTTCTTTTACTTTCTTCGTACAAAGCGGTTGCTTCTTCCTTAACTGAAAGATCTCTTCTGATTGTACCTTTCGGTTTCCCCAACCATTGTTCTCTCTCTCCCTTTTTTTTATAATTCCCCACGTTAATTATTTTTTTCTTTTTTCTCGTTCTCTTCAAATTATCATTGTTTTGTGTGGCGCATATATATTTGGTGCCCCCTGTACCAATATTTATGTGTTCAAATAATAATAATAATACTACATAGGCATCTAGGTTGTCAGATAATATATAGATCCCTCCAAGATCCAGTTATACTCTAAATTTAGACTGAAGATTTTCCGGGTATTTTCCAAATTCCGTTTAAAAACTGGAATAAAATAATCACGCATTATCTGTTAACGATAATATACTGGGAAAGCGAGACTCAACGAAGGAAATAAGCGTCCATTAAAGGTTCAATTACTATACGATACATACTTGTGAGAATATTCGTTGTAAAAAAGAATTTATAACAAAGAAAAACAAAGCTGAGAAAACAAGAAAAAAATGTTCTAACAAGTAAGGAACCTTATAATTTATATGACTGATGTGGTGAAATTCAGAAGCCAAATTTTATCGATTAGTGATAACATACATCACTCTAAAAACAGTTGGTGTATATTTGTTAGGTTGTCACAAACAAGTTATAAAGTTGATAGTGCTTTTCGTGATACTTCATATATAAATAAATTCATGCATAATACAGAACTTGAATGCTGTCGTAAAAATGGACAAACATATGAGAGTTTTATCATTTGGTGAAGGTATTATAATTAGCATATAAGCATGAATGAAAGTTGAAGAAACTACTTGCTTTCGAGCCTCCTGGAAATCGGTTATTCCCCAGCATCTCCAAGGGAAGATTGGTAAGAATTCCACTAGCCTGGATCCACTAGCATCGAAATTATTCAACCAACGTCTAAGTACTAATGGTAATAAAATAGGTCGAATATGTTGATGGAAATAAGTTGTATCATTTCCAGCCAAAATTTCAATAATGAGCTACAATTATCAAAAAAGAGTATTATTAGACAAACTTATCCATTTTTCTGAACAAGTAACCAAAATATAGACCCTACTATTGATGGAATGTAGCTTAAGTAACGATCTTTACCTTTTTTTCTAAAGGTTGATCACGAACTGATCTTAGCTAGAACATCATTGAAGACGTAGAAGCACTGAATAGTCGTTTCTTCTTAGTATGGGACACCCTAGCAAAGTACATCCACAACCACGCCAAAGAGGGTGGACCCAGGACCTTCGATCTCGCGCGTAAACGACGAACCTATTAAGCCAATTGTCTTGGACTTGACTCTTGTGGCATGGTCGTAGATGCGCATTGCTGGGTAGTCCCATACTAGGACAAAACAGTCGTTCAGTGCAGCCTGATTTTCAGTGGTGACCTATCTAAGATGAATTCGTGATTTAAACAAAATTTCTACAACCTCCACAAATCCTCCAATACTAAAACAAAAAAGTTAAAATAAGACATAGAAGTTACCTCGTTTATTTGACAGCAACCGTTCACTTCCTCTTTATTATAGATTATAGTCATTTCAGTACAACATACAGTTAGACATTCTAATTCAGGATATAGCATAGATAGAATTCTATTCGATGATGATGAAGGACACTGATTCCCGTTAATAGTACCGGTATGAGTAGACAGGACAGTTAAGAGTCTCAAGATTAATGAATGTATATAAACTGTGAAATTCGAATTGACAGACGGATATGTTGTATCAGTTTCTGTTTTTAATGATATGAAATTGAACTTTGTAGAGGACAGCAATTGGAGTAAAGTTTGACAAAGCTGTAGAATAGCACAATGATTGATTTGACACCAGGAAAAATTGTCCGATTTAATAATTAGGCTAAATTATTTGAAAACGCCATAATATTATTGCTATCATATAATCAATAAGAATTTTAAAATAATACATTACATTCTGGGTTTTATATCTTGAGTGAAGTGATGCTTCAATCTACCCAACTAACTTAATTATGAGATTTGCAGATTTACAATATTTTTTACATTAGTAATTTTACCTAGAAAGTAGCAAAATTGTTTCTATCATAATCGATGAAGTTTATATTAAAATACACAGGCCAAGTTAGCAGTGAGTTGAAATTTCTTTGCGTTGAGTAGATGATTTCACTCGAGAATGTAGTATTATCAAGAAAAATTAAACTCTTTTACTTTAAATTCATTTGTTTGTTTGAATCTTCCCAGCGATGTTTAGGATTGCATTTGGTCAATCTCTTATTGGCATATGTGCATCCTGTGCGAATCACCTCGATATTACCTTAAGTCACAAGCATTATAAGCAAAGATCGGTGGTGGCTAGCAAAGGAATTCAGGATGCGCGTTTCGTCCCTTACTTTAGTTTTGAAAACGAAAAAAACCTACTGTTCTTTATTAAAGTTTACACTTTCATGCCATATACATTTCTTAAGGTAAAGTGCAAAGAAAAGCTTCGAGTTAGAATAGGTTCAGTAAAAAGCGTTACTAAAGTATTTATTTTAATTTATGAAATACAAGGAACAACATAAATCTGATATTAAATAGTTTTTTCCTCTTTTAACTTTCACCATAAAACTATTCATGTTTTAAACTAAGAATAAAATGCAAATTTTAAAATAACTAATTATCACAGTTTACAATAAGATCAGCAGTTCTTTTCTGTATATGATATTTAAGAATTTATTACCCTAAATTAATGTTATTTAAATCAATAAATATTAACGAAATATCTAAACATATCTGCATGGAAAAGAAATAAAAGCGAGTAATAAAAGTTTCACGCATTTATATTTTATCATGTTAGTATTTATTTTATTTAGCAAAAATAACTCATCGAGTCAAACTGTTTGTAAGGGCCGTCCAAACAGACAAAGGTAGAACGAGGCTCAGAACTGCGATTTATTGCGAATAGGAACCGAGTATTTTAAGCACTATGCAGTCCTCGACCCCCTTCAGTTAGAAATATTTCCGTATTGATCAATAACTTTAAGTAATTTTCACTACAAAATATCTATAAAAAAATACCTGACTGAAATTACCTTTGGAGAAATTTCGCTAATTGAAAAGTTGCAATAGGTACAATATGTTGAACTGTTGGAATTAGACAATATTCTGGATTATTTTGTTTATCAATAATGTTCGCGGAATAAAGCTAAAGAAATTGGATTAGAATAAAAAAAACTATGAATATGCAGGATTCTTTAAAAGGTGCATCAGCAAATTGTTAGTCAAGTTACAATGACTGATCATTTGATATTGACTGACTATTTACTCATTTGTGGATACCGTAAATTATTTATCACATTTTGTAGGCATCATTTTTTGTAACGAGTTACTAAAATATTCAGGTAAATATTTTTGATAATTTCAAGTGTATACAATTTTCCTAACCAAGTGAAAGTTCAAACTTGTTTTGATCGAGTGACCTAATCAGAAATCACATCGATAAGCAGTGCCAACTTCATTTCTCGCTGTCCAACTGTGGCTATCTATTATGATAGACAGTACATGATTTAGAAGTGGACCGTTTATAAAATGGACTCACACATCATAAGTTTATGTACTTTTTACAACAATGTCATGTTCTTAATAAAATCTGTAACTCATCTTAGTAAATAGATTACTATTTGACCAAATAACGAGGAAGCAAAAACAAATTGTGATACGCATTTAGCTGTGAATTACATGGTCCAACGTTTATGAAAATACAACTGATTTCAGTTTATGATGTAGTCCTATTTTTTAATTGATTAATCAGTAAAACTTTTTCGGGATTTTTTAATTGAAGTGTGAGACTAATTTCAAAATAATATAGGATTTTATGTTCTAATACTAAGAGTCATAAAGCCAAGGTGCGGCACTAGTCAATGAAATTATTAACTGTGCATCTGAGACATTTTCAGAGGTACAGATGTTTTCGTTGTGGTTTGACAGATAATTTTAATGCATAATTGGAGACCTTATTTGACATAACTCAAAATTAGTTGCAATGATGATAATTTGCTTTTTTAAATTCATCTTCCTCTATATCTTGACTTTTATTATTATTTTATAGTTTAATATCACCAATCCTCTTTGGACTATATTTTCAATACCGGCAAAACCATTATTATTTCGATTTCTTTGATTTTAAACCTGTTGGCTTTGAATATGAGTGGTAGATACTTTACTACCCAATAGGGTATTGTTTGATAGTTCGATATGTAGAAACTGCAGTTACATAATTCTAAAGGTTAGAACTCTATATTAAAGAAAACAAAATAAAGATGATTCGTAGATTATGACGTAATGTATGAGCTACATTAATATGTTTGTCTATTCAACTTACATTTATCCAGAAGTTAAGACAATCTACAGTAGCGACTTCGAAACCTTCTAAAGATTTCCCAGAAAATTTAGAACCAACAGACCAAACAGTTCGAATTAGTTGATCGATATGTTGACCGATCAATTTCCAATGACCCATTTCTTCAAGATTTAGATTTGATTGATTTTGGAGTACATATATATATACCATACTATTTGATAGCATACAAAGTGAACGAATTAATTTAACAATTAAATTAATACACAAATATTGACTACAACGTGCTAGAAGAGATTTCAGAATTTCACGAATAGTATCTACTATAGAACTAATAAAGTAAGTAATCATTTCAGCAAAATCATTGTTTAAATTATAATCATAATTTTTATCAGAAAATGTTTTATACATAGATTGAGAAATATTTCTAGTAAGTTTAAATAACCATTTAATAGAATCATGATCATTTAAAACAATTTTAGACATTGATTCATGCAATGACTGATAAATTTGTTTCAGTAAGCTTATATTTTTACTTCGAAGACTAAATAAAAATAATAAATTGAAAATTTTAAATTTTACTGATTGATACAAATGGTTACGTGAGTTAATTTCTTCTGAATTATCTTGATTATTTGTTATTTCAACGGTAACAGAAGAAACAGTATCCTCGAAATCTTCATCACCGAAATTAGTTTTCTTCACTTGACTAGAAACAGCTAATGGTTGAAATGTATTTTCAGAAATTAATTGTTCAGATGTTGAAAAACTGAAATAACTGGTAGACAAAAGTATTAATTGATTTAATCGTGATGATGAGATCCATGATATATCGTCTATGCTAAACGCTAATAATTCCAATAGAATTTCTAAAGATTTAACAAACATTGTCAACTTTTTAAATTTTTGATTAAAATCATCTGCATTAAATTGAACAGAAAAGTTAGTTATATCATTTTTTACTGAATCACACCATTGATACTTACTGGATATTAAATTGTCTAGTATTTGTTTCAAAACTCGCTCTAACATAACTGTATAACATGATGGTAACTCATCCAGATATTTACATTTCTTTTTGAGTAAACAAAATTTGTATCGAATTAATGATAACTCTGTAGCTAAGAATACAACTAAAGTAAATATATTTTCATTTGTGACTGATAAATTTGCATTCAGAGGAGTGTAAGCTGATATATTTTTTCTGATAAAGTCAATAGCTTCAATATGATCTTGATTACTAAATAATGGTTGATTCAGATTACTTCCTAAATGAAACCATGGGTTAGAAGAATGAATAGTAGGAGTAAATTCATTTATTAAATAGCTTTTATATGCCCATAGAATACCAGTTAGTAAAATACTCATTTCTGCTGGTACCTGCACGATTGTTATGTTCTTTTCAGCAAAATTGTCATCAGTGTTCCAAATTTTTGTATAATTGTATAGTAGAAAAAGAATACCCGGATTAAATAATAGAACATTAGGGATAGTAGAAACACTTAAAAAAATATCACAAGGAATTAAGTTTCGCGGTAATTTTAAGCAAGTACTAATTAAAACAATCAGTCGAACACGCCATAGTGAATTGTTCAAATGACTAGTGTCTAAATCTAAACATCTCATCAGCGACGTAAATATGCGCGAACAAATGTTAGATACATTTACACACTGAAAATGATTGTTTCTGGTAGAATTGTGAAGACAGAATAAAGCTGACAGAAGATTACATACTAATCGATCGTGATTTAGAAACCGATAACCCGACAAAGAACCTTCACGTTTATGACCTTGTAAACGATTTCGTTGTAAAGAACATTGTTCAAATAAACTATAAAAAATATAAAACAATTAGAACTAATCATTGTATAGTTAGTAAAAAATAGAATAATGAAAATTAAGAATGTATGTAAAGAACACTTAGTAACCATATACTTTAAATTTTGTCAATAGTTCGTTCAAAATTAATTTTTACCATCATCAATTTTTTCGAGTAAAAAGGTTTCCAAAAAATTCAGATAAGTAAACTGTTTTAATACAGATATCTTATAAAAAATTCTCGCACTGCAATATTAGTGCAATAAGAAAATATGAATTGAATAATCAACTTCCGAACATTGGGTGATTTGCTCAGATTTTTTAACCATATTTAATCAGTCCAGTAGTATCGCCTGACATACATACAGATACAAAAAAAGTTAATATATTTAAACATTCTTATTACGTTAGTCGGATGAAATTGAGTAATTAAAATGAATAGCGGTTGATGAAAAATGCTATCCAGAATGCTAAGTTCCAGAGATTATAAATGTTTCAGCAAAGCAAGAGCGACAATATTAGGAAGATACGATTAATTCATAATATTTCGTAAATTCTATTCCGCTACATACAAATCTAATGTTAATTCAGTTTAAAATATGAAGTTTCAAAAACGGGGATCTAGGTGTTCTAGCTAGGATACTCCTAAGAACTTCCATCTATAAAATGAAATCAGTCATCATAGTTCGACTGCATGTTATTGTTGGACTCGGAACACCATATGAACACAGTATGCTCATTCAAAATAATCAATAAACAGCATGACTCTACATTATTACGAACTGAAGAGACCGTAGCAATCAGGAAGCTAAAACATAATCTGTGGTTAACTTTCGACTCCTTCCGTAACAAGAAAAAACAATGTTAAGAGCACAATTTTCGTCTTTAAAAAAATCAATACTTTCAACTCAATTTTCTGTCTTATCTTCTTAGTCTTTAGAAATCTCTTGCCATACTACACGACAATATTATAGAACTATCTGTATAATTATTGATAAAAAATACCCTTTAAAGACTTTACTTTGAAATACTTACTACAATCTTTATTTCAAAATAATTTAACGGATTTCTGATGGTAAGGCATTTCTTGAAAATTTCAAGCTAATATTTTTAATCAACCTGACTAATTAACTAAAGAAGAAGCATGAATGACAATCAATTTATAGTGTTCAGCCAATACTGTCGTTCTTATTTCGTTAAATTTATTAGGGTGCCAATTCATTGAAGTAGATATTTCCGAACTATTCTCCGCAAATTACGTGAGTAATACCATATATATTAATCTCACAAGGACTTACCTAACAGCAAACTCCCATATTTCATTATAAGCTGATAACACACTATCTAATGGCACATGAGAAACTGAGCCTTGGTATAATTCGTAATTCAATAAAACGACAAGTGTATGTAACACGGTAACCAAACATTCGTTTGCTAATGCTCTGAACAATACAAAAATAAACACAATCTTCAAAAAATGCTTGTTACTACTGGAATAATAAATATATTAAAAAATCTTTATAACAATTTAGATGGATACATAGAAAACTGTGAAAAAGTCTCATTTACAAATCAAAGACCCTTGCGATTTAACATAATATTTGAACAATATAAATAAGTAAGATTAGCATTCTCTATACTTTTTATATTTCATGTTTTTTATACTTACAGAATAATTTCAAACTGAAGCAAACAGTAACTGTCAGTCTAGTTAATAAGAACACTGAATAAAATTTACTCAAAGTACCATTTAACATGCCCTTGGAAAGCAATTTGTAATTATTATTTATAAGTAACAGGTACAGTGGATTTTCTGTGGTATGAATTTCTGATGTTTGACACCATTCACAATTACATAGTATTATAGCTGAAGTACGTACAGGAAATGAACTTGCGATTGAACAGTCACTGAAAGTATATAAGCTTTGAGAGAATAAAATGAAAATCCATTCAACTTAAAGCTCACATTATTATATATGTAAGACATGAGAAATGTTACTAAATTATAATCTATTAAATGTCAGCAAAATATCTACTAAATAAAACAAAAAAGCTTACAAATACCATTAACTAGTTGTATGGTTCTTAAACTCATATTTATGTCCGATTACGATGAAAAGTACCAGATCTACGTGGTCTTCGTTAACATGAATACGAAGTCTTACATCAGTCTTATTAATCCACAGGTTGAAAAGTTGCCTAATTAAGATATAAGACTGCTTGAAAACAAAACCAAGCTAACCAGAATAAAAAAGATGCTATTATCAAGCAATATGGTGTACGGACATAGTGATTAAGTCAGTTGGCATCTAATTAGTAAGTAGCAGGCTAAAATTTCACTCCATACACCTCGATTTCATAGGTTGTGCAGTATCATTAGTCTCCTCAGACAAACAGCTTTGCTAAAAGTGAGAACAAAAACCTGTTCTTGGTAAATGAGGTAAATTACATAGTGAGTCTTCAAATAACGAGGATAATTAAACACTGATAAAAATGATTTTTGAAAGACTTACATTCGGTTAACCTTTACCGAAGTTGAGATGATCTTAAGGAGAGCCTCAATATCAGTATATAAATCATATCTTTTGCCTTCAGAACGTATGATCAAAGCATTTTGCCACATAAATCGGATAATCCAATCAATAATAAGCCACCTAAAATAAAAAATGTGGGATATAGATATTACCTAAGGAAAATATATTGTTGTTACAAAATTGGATGTAGAAAAATTAGTGAATCTTATGTTGTACGAAAGAATATTTCCCAAATTTCACATGAATTCCATAAAATAATCAACAAGAGCACGAAAAATGAGATTAGATGATAAATTCGATAAAGTAAGATGCATCGAAATCTATACAAACTGAATTTATCATATTTCAGTCGTTTATGATTATGAAAGCGCAATAGACTACAATAAACATCGGACACACAAAACGGAAGTGAATTAAATGGAGGTTTAAGCCGTTACTCGTTAGTTAGCTAAAGTGCTTCATATACTCTTGATATTATTCAAATGTAAGAAACAATTAACACCGAAGAATGTATCTCAAAACGTGGTGGATTATAAATAGGACTTTTCAGTAAAATCAACGGTCTTGGATATTGAGACATGTTGAGACTTGGACAACACGAAAGCAATTAAATATCAATTACATGAAAGAAAATTGACAAAACATATACAAGATACAGACTTAGATGCTTTCCAAATTACGATGGTAAATGATGAAATTGATGAGGCTATCTGCTTTAATTAGTTGAATAGTTAACTGAGTAAACCAATCATTTATGACAAAACTTAAAGGTCAAGAAAGTATATGTTGTTATTTCAAGTTAAATGTCCTTCATATAAACAAAAAATACATCTAACTAAGAGGAATAAATTAGCTAGGAATATAAGTCCCGAAGAATTCAGTCATCCATGCAAATGAGTGTAAGCAATGATATATATATGAGACATCCTCAAAACCATGTTCGTTTTAGAAAATATTTATGGGATTTTGATATAGAGTTAAATAAGATGATTATTCTACAACATTTGATAAGAACTACGACTTAAGGTGTAGTCTACTTGTATTCAAACTGAAAATTTATTAAACTATTACATTCTTTAAATGTTGATAAATATTACTGTCAAACGTCATTAAATGCGTGTGCGAAAAATTCGAAATCATAATTAGATTAAGCAAAAAGTAACTAGTTCTTTGTCTTCAAGGAAAAGATACGGTCACTTGTGAGATTCTAATAAAACCACAATAACTACGTTCTTTTTCATGACACAGTATTCTGAAAATTCTTTTTCCATGGATGGTTGCGGCTGGCTATATAAGACCTTATGAAATCGCCTAATCATTCAAGTACGTCTTCATCTTAACATATATATAACGTACACAATCAGTGGACAATACTTACCATAAGCAACCGAATTTCGTACCGTTATTGGTAAGGTTGACAAGGTTATCCCATAGGAGACCACTGGACACAAATGTCCCAGAATCTGAATTACCGACTTCAAAGCGAGCCCTTTTTCGTTCTCTCTGATTTTCCGGAGTATCATGTTCGATTTGTTCTCCAAAGAGTCTATTGGCAATTTCCCTCTAACGAAGTTTAATATATAAAGTATTAGTGTACTATCAATATCAACAAAATCCCTTATTCTTTAAGAAGTACTTGAAAGACCTTTAGAATGTAATTTTTTAGTTACGGATAGACGTAAGATGTGTTGAACGGTTTAGATTGATTAAAAAATATTAAAAACAACAAAGCTAAAACTATGTACATGAATATTTCCTTTTGGAGAGTCGAGTTTACGAACGCAGAACGATACGGTTAGATGTTTAATGGAATTTGGTACATAAAACTACTTACATTTATACATCATACAAATTTCTGAAAAATTGTCAACATCTCTTTTAAATAGCGTCGTACAATCTTCGTAAAAATCGCGATGATATTAACCAGTGGCCTAAGTTACAATAATATATCCATGTTCTTAGAAAACTTAAAACTAACGGAATGTTTAATATGTTAAGTAAATATGTGGCTGAGGTAAGACAAGTAAATAGTGTGTGACTCGGAGTATTAGATTATTTTCCTGCTTTTCAGTCAACATGCTATCTTAGTACAAACTAACCACAAATATACTACTTCGTTTATGTTTCAGCTTTACGTTTTTGATTTTTCAAGGGATATATCGCAAGAAATGGTTAAAACTGCGTAAGCACAACTGATGAATCCATGAAGATATAATAAAAACAAGCTGTTCCTTGATGAATTCGGTAAAACATTAATTTGAAACATATTTTGTCATGTTAACATGTTGAAAGTTCTAATTTCTAAGGCCTTTAGTATTTAGAACCTATAACTACTCTAAAAAGCTCAGGAACGAAGGATGTAATGAAACAGCATTGCGATGGAAGTAGCTGTTACCTATTTCGTGAAGAAGCAATCAATCAATAACTCGTTAATATGCTAAAAATTGTTAGTAACTACAACTTAAAGACAAATCTGGGTACATAGTTGCATACACTTAGCCACACTGTTTACAAATAGTGAAGTCCCTAAATTATCATACCAAAAAACCATAATACAACTTTCACAAGAAAATGGGCTACTCGATAGCTTTTTTTAACTAACAAACAACAACACGTATATGATGCTAAAAGAAGCTTGTTCCATAATTATTAGCCACTAAGAAAATACACTTGAAGTAGCCAAATATTTTATTAGTTACAACACATTACCGCCACTAGAAAAGGGTATGACTTGTTTGTAAAGTACGCTGACCAGGAAGGTAACTGACGCAAGAAGCCTTTAATGTAGAAACCGAAACTTATGCTTACATGATTATGTTCAAAGTGAGCAATTATACGAACATATAAAACCATCTCAGACGGCATACGTTTAACACGGAAACTGAACTATATTTGAAAACAAACCTTCTTATGATTTGACGAATTTTTGTCATATTCCATAACTAATACTGCTGCAAATAGACTAAAGAAGTTCGTAAGACCACTGACGGTTTTCCAACAAGTGTCTTCATTTTGAAAACTTAGACGAGAAGTGATTGAATTGAATTCTTGAAGTAAATACTTGTATAGAACAGAAGACCCTGTGTGGTTTTCTTGACACGTCGTTACCTGTCCAAGAGAGCGTTTATAATAACAAAACACGAACATCCAGCGCCAAAGACAAAATAGTTCTTGTTGAGTGCTTAAATCAGTGCTTTCACGCATGATATTTGATGATCGAGTATCCATGCAAAGTTTTGGGAGTTGTTCTATCAGGAAAAACTGGGAGGAACATGTCAAATATGCTGGTGCTCGATGACAAACGTTGGTTCGTTCGATAAAGTTTAGTGTATTCCCTCCAGTAATATCAAGAGATTTACGGTGTTGTGTCGAATTCAAAATTGTTGTAAAAGATGAAGCTAGAGAAAGTGAATCCCATGTCGATTCTTTTGTCCATGCTTCGGAATGAAACTGTAAAACCTACAAATAATAAATAAACAACGTACATTTCCATGGAAGTGATCTATCTAAATAATCGAGACATGATTCCGAATAACTTTGTACTTGTACGCTAGTCACCTAAACGTAGAACATGTCTTGGCAGAATGTACAATATTCGTTCTGTCACAACCTTATTTGGTTGATAGTGTATGAGTAGAAAATGACCAGATGTTTAACAAATAATAAAACCTTACTGTAGGAATAGCTATCTTAGAATAAGCAAGACAAGCAGATTAATTCCTCTGGCCACTTACGCTATAACGTTGAGAAGGATCCATTTCTTTGGTTTTGTCGGAAATTCCAAGACTGATGGAAAATGTACAGCTGGTTTGATTTTCGTTGAATACCAAGTTTATAAAACTGGGAATCGTTTGGTTTATAATCAAAACTGCTTCTTGCCAATCAGATATGTTGGTGTACACATTACTGAGCAACCAGCGAAGTAAATGACACACCCAACCAAGGTTGGTAACGAATATGTTTTTGGATTGACCGACCAGTGAATCACAGCTACGATGAAGTAGGATCAAAACAGATAGTAAGAGCTTCAAAGCGAATTGTGATGAAAAGTGATTTGTTGATATGCGGGGACTATTTTGAAATATTTTTCAGCTTCTGTTGAGTTGGATAAACTAAATTAGCTGACTATTACGTAATGTAGATACCTCTTAGGTAAATCTAGTCCTCAACATATGACTTAAAGGCTTTCAACTGAAAATATTGCAAAAAAACTGTTGACAAAAAATCAGTCACTGTGATGAAACGAATAGATAATCGATTGTCACTACCAATTTAACACATGACAAATACAACCTCAACTTTCACCAAGGCAACCTGTACCATACGCTGTTTTCAATAAGACCACTCAGCAATCAGGTGTGATTAAACCCATTGACTAAATGAATGGTATTGACTGTAACGAGTAAGAAGAATAATGATGATATCTTCTTTTTTTAAAAGGCTTTGCTTATGCTTATTCCCTTGAAAAAATTGTGAACGAGTCAGAATAGATCACTATCAGCATACATAGAGGGATATGTTACACATGATAATATCTAACGTATTGTATGAAATATTAATTAGCGTACATGAAGCAGCTGTACACTTAAATGGTATCGTCATAGTTACAACTAAGAACTACGATACTGGTATTCGATTACAGGTATTTACAAAGCATTACTCGTATTTTCCGTCAATGGAGAAAGTAATGCATGGATTAAGAATGGGGCCAGGAGGTGGTAAACATTCATCAACTACAATGGTTGGATTATGTACTACGCATGCAAATCCATAATCTACCTCAACAAGCGATGTTTTATGGTGCATGAATTGGCTGGAAGAAAGCTAACATCAATCCATGAAGTCATTGACAACTGAACTGACCCATGTTAATAGGTAAAGGCTACCTGGTTGGGGTACACGTAACTATTGTAACCAATGATTCGAGATAATTAATGACGGCTCGAAATCGTATGCAATGGTGCAGATGCATCGGTTTTTTATTTTCCCCCAAATACTGAGATTCCGAATTCCTCATAACATTTTCGTTCTTATTTAACTAATTTATATTTTCTCGAATTATATCTCCGATGTTTAATCTGTCCGATAACCACTGGCACTGTTACGACCTCTAATATTCTTGGATTTGGCCTTACGATTTTGCCTCTTTATACCAACGAGGTATAGCGACTTGAGCTATTATACATAAGCTTCAGGTTCTACGCTGTGACTGACTGAAAACTAAGAACATTTCGATTACTTGGACAAGTAATAGATCCGGTAATAAAGTAGAAATCTTGCTTGATGGAGAGATTTGAACTTCCCTCGAAAACAGTAACAGACACTTTCGCTTCATCTTAAACACGAATAGTCAACCTTTGAACACAAATAATACGGGAGCCATTTATTTAAAATATCTACAGCTAGACTCAGACATTATCCAGCTCACCATTTCTACTTAGAAAACAGCTTCGATCTTTGAAGATAAAGTCATATTTCTAGTTTGTGAAGATGATACTATTAAGATTTTTAAGGCTGTTAAGTTTTTTGTGTAATAGCCCTCATGCTGATCAGAATTGAAATTGTAAATATTATTAACACACATTGCAGTGTTATTGACACACATTTTAAACTGGATGGTCAAACTTACTTCTTAACTACGTATTTTCACCCAGTAATAAAGAATGGTGAAAACCGATAACAAATGTGAAGTTCGAGTATTTGTATATAATTCACACCTACTGAATAAAGTTATACCACCCGACTGTCTTAAGTTTCAGAAGATTTATGTGCCGAATATGGGAAGAAACTATTGAAATTTATACGCAGATACACAGTGAGGCAAAAAATGTAATGTGGGGTGGTGTAGACATGTTAACCAAAACAAGATACGCTGAAAAAACCCAAATATAAAACTACACTGACAAAACACTGTAAAATACTTTTTGATAAACTTGATTAATGTGCCTGAGATGTGATAAAATGGCAGCGGACTTTCAGAGTAGTGTCGAACCAAAAAGCACAATAAACGAGCTGGCAGGAGAGACGTTGAACAATTCAGTTGATCACAACACCAAAATATCAGATCTTTAACAATTATTTCAACCTAAGGAACCTACCATTTCGATATTTCGTGTCCAAAATAATTGTATTTAAACGGGCTTCCAACAAAAATACACACAAAGTATTAAAAAGTCCTTGGTGAAGGAAAGCAACACTTTTATCCTTAACAATCTGAAGAAAGAAGAGCACAAAATCATTTAAATTGATTGGGTAATTTCCTGGAAATATTAGCTTGGATATATACTCTCTAACCTTTGGATCCATGCAAAGCAATAATTTGCAAAATCTTTAAGTACGGAGTCAGTTCCATATTTAAACGTGATTCACTCATATTTCCGCGACCACTGTGAGACGGAAGTTCAGTTATCATAACTTGTACTATGCTCTATAAAATCCATAGAAAAACACTGATCTACACACCTCGATGATGAAATTCCACGAAACGATTCGAAGGCTACTGTTTTGAAACTTCTTATCGGAACAGGAGCTAATGATTCGCCGATTAGTTGAGACTTGTAAAATATTCAAAAGTCTGAAAACATTATTCTTGAGGCTAAATAAGGTGTTATTTCGATTCACACTTTTTTTTCCCGTTTTGTGCACGTCACTAAGTCATCTACAAGTCTTCTAATTCCACACTCATCCATGTTCGAAATACTCGACCTTGAGACCTTAAATTGAGCTCCTGAAACCAACACTATCAGATTTCCCGCACGTTCTAATATCTGAAAACATTTGCAATAAGTTGATGCAACTCGTAATACTATGAATAAGGTATTCTAGCACCAGGAGTACAAGACGCACAGTCTTAAAAATAAAAAAGTGAATTCAAATTGTTCAAATGGTTCTGGAAAGCTTTCTCTTTGTGGGACATCCGTCCCAATTACTGTTTATGTCTTCCATGTCTGTTTCCAATTCCTGTAGTGGCCAGTTCTTCAGCCTTACTCTTGTTCGCTTGTCCTTAAGATTCCAAGTTAGCACTTTCGTAATCGCAGAGTGCCAACTCAGTAAAATTAGAAGCAAAGAGGTTCGAAGATATATATGATAGAATATCGATATATTGTGAAGTGACTAATCTAATCTGGCTAGCGTTTGTAGAAGTAAAGCATGGTGTACTCACCCGTGGTCTGGTGTGGATACATGACCACTACACACTTCTAGCGTCTTTTCCTAAGTTCCTCGTCAACTTGGAGATAGTTTTTTTCTCTTACAGTAGGCTGTTGCTGATGGTATTCTGTCAACGGACGATGAGTAGCTTGAGTAGACAGTTATTTACAAATACTCGTACCATTTTGATCATTGTTATAGTGGTTCTACAAGTTTCACTGCCACACAGTAGAACTGTCTTGACGTTCGCATTGAAGATTTGAAATTTTGTAGCGTGGTGTCGAGTTGAGCTGATCTATGAACACCGCTACCAGACTACTTGCCAATAGACCAATAAAATTCCGGTAGGCCAAAATATCAGAAGGCAGATGATTGTAGTAGTCGTATATATTTGTTGGCAATCTCGTGGTATCGAAAGAATACCGAGATCGTGCCAAAGGAGTACAAGTGTGGTTACTGAGCGTAACCAGATTCGTGCAAGTTCGAAGTCAACGGGATAGTAAGTATAATGGCTGTCATTAGCACAGTTAAACAAACGAGCACAGTAAAACAGTCACTGGTACAATTGGTTATAATAATAATTGTTTTCATCGAACCAATCGTGTTCTGTTGACAAAAGTAGGTCACTACAGGAGCCCCCCGCTAGAAAGGGTTTACACTTTCGATAGTTAGCGGTTTGATTCGTGGGACTGATCGGCAGAATTGCGGTTGTAGGACGGAGGAAATTGGCGGAACAGGAAGTGATCATTGATCCTCGAGTTGCCAACGAAGGTCTTTTGCGCAGAACGGTACCAGAAGTGTGCTGTATTTGTTGGTCGAATTAGCATACCACACCAGAGTGGTTTGTATCCAGAATCTGATGATTGCGTTCGTATGGATGCGGACCAGAAAACGCTGCAGACGTAGGACGAAACCACGTTGAGCCAAGAAACCGGACGCGACCATAACTACCAAGCATATGCCAGGCGAATTCGAGACCAGATAATCGACTGAGTGCGTTGACTAGAGCGTGGGTGGCCAAACCAGCTTTTGCCAAAATTGACTGAAGTCGACGTTATCAAACGGGCGATGGTCGGAGGCGTGGGCTCAGGATACAAAAAAAATCAAAAAAAGAAAAGTGTAGCATGCGTGTAGTATAGGAATAATCCTACACCGTATGTTATTGACTGTGCGGTTAGTCGCGAAAGCGTACGGGTAATCGTACTCGGCGACCGGAACGTGAGACGGTAGTCTCGTTCGTACTTCGTGAGCCTGCGATCTCATCCGAGGTCAAGGGCGGCGTGGTCTGCCGATCTGGACGTGAGACGGAAGTCTCGTCCGTAGATGGTGCAGATGACGCGTGCTGTTGACCGGGACGTGAGAACGAGGTCTCTGATGTATCTAGCGTGGGATCCGAGGTAGATGTAGAGATCCCGCTAGTAGGTTTGATAGGTCTAGCATTGAGTCTCAAGTTATCGGGTTGGGCACTGTCATCGACGTGTGCTGGTTTGAGACGATCAATGCTGACGATCTCGACGCGGCCGTGTCGATCAACCTTGAAGGTCTTTTCGTGACGAGAGATCACGTGAAAAGGGCCTTCGTAAGGCTGTTGCAAAGGTTTGCGTACCGA